GGATCGGTGCCTGGTGGCTCGGCTATGTGGTGTTCGGCTCCCTGGCTCTGGCCGCGGCTATGCCGCTCTTCTGCTTCCCTCGGCGGTTGCCAGGGCAACGTGGCAAGGGACACAGCCAGCAAGACAAGGGAGAGCATCAGAAGGGAGAGAATCAAATATTAAAAAACCAAGACAAAAAGTAATTTTTTTGATACTTTAAAAACAACCTCAAAAAAAAAAAATCCCCACAAAATAACCCCTCCCCCCCACAAAAAAACCAAACCCATCAATAATGTAAATAAAATATTTCAACGGTATAAAAAATATTTTTTGGAAAATTTATTATAGAAATAATCGTTTTTAATACATTGTGTTTGAAATTGCAGTCTAGTTACTGAATACAAAGTCGTTGACAGAGAATATGGGAGTAAAATAAATGTCAGAGTCATAAGGAAGCCTATAGCTAAGACATTAGCTTTCATCAAAAGGTAAGTGCAAGAATAAAATATGTCTAGCCGTAGTTGAATAACGTAGTTTCTTGTTAAAATATTTAGACATTGGGGTAGTGGGTGGGGTGAGGTGGGTGTTTGCCGGGAGGGCTGGCAGAGTATCTTTCAGGAGGAGCATTAATCTCTCTCTCGGACCTCGTCCACAGCCCCTCCCACTTCTTTCGCGGTCCGAATAGAGAAATGTATTATATATATAATATTATAGTAATATATATATATATATATATATATATATATATATATATATATATATATAAAACCAGTGCCCCCTCTCTCCGGAAAACCTAAGCCCCACCCACTCCCCATCATCCACTTGTTTCAACCCCCCCCCCCTCTTCTCGGAGACAACTATCTGAAAGAAACTCTAAGGCCTAAGGACATGTGCCCGGATCTTTTTTCCCGATATCACCTAGCATACATATGGTTTGATAGAGTTAAACGACCTACACGAATCACATGCAGAGCGTCACTATGTATTTATTCGTCAAACGTAAGAAAATTATCTAATAGAGATAAGTTTGCTAATCAGATATGGCGGTCAGTAGGTCAGACCATGACCAGTGCATTTGTTTTTGTGACTTTCATATGTAAATGTATAGTGAGGTCAGCACTTTACACACCCGTCTAAAGTTAGGGGCTGTTGATATTGTTGACGATGGATTTAGATAGAGAAGTAACGGGGGGGGGGGGGGGGGCTGGAAGAAAGCATAACACATATTATAGACACAAACATTGCTTCAAAATACAAATATAATGAGTAAAGAAAAATTAATTAAAATTTGAGATAGAAGGTGGAGAGTTTAGTGAGGAATTGATGTGTGTATAACGGTAGAAGGAGGATATCTGTAAAAAGAAAGTGATGTTGTTGATGGAGGACGCTCAGGCCCATGAGATGGGATTTCCCACTGGGACAAGATAGATATCTTAGACGGGTTGGGGGGGGGGGGGGAGGCAGTGTTTCTTCCAGACTTTTTTTTCGGGGGGGGGGGGGGGTACTTGAAGTGTTCGGGAGGGTGGGTGACGGACTATAATTTCCGGGAGCGGGTGGGCGGACTGTTAAAAGTATATACGTTTTCTATATAAATCCCATTCCCCCCCCCCCCGCGAAGAGATGCCTGGAAGAAATTCTGTTGTTGGGGGTGGGGGTGGGGGATGCGATGGAAAAATAAAGAATAAAAAACCTGTTCTTAAAATGGGGACATTGGTTTCAAAACTAAAATTATCGGGGGTAGATGTCACATTCTCCCACCGACCACGTCGTCACATATCTATTTGTGAAATTTAGTAGCCTGTATTAGTTGAAACTGTTAGGGGACTTGCCTAGATGGACAGCTTCCCACATAAGACATTCATGCCACAACTCAAATTACGTACCCCATTACATCTGGGTCGACTCTGTGACATCATCATCATCATCTTTTTCTGTTTGTGTCCAATTGACATAAGGCAGATGAAGTAGAGTTCATCTGTTTCAATGATGTCGGCATACAAGGGGATAATGTGTTCAGCACTTTATCCAACTGCTTTTGTTTCCCTAACGTAAGTTTAGTACCCATCAGAGCTAGCTTGACTCAGGGACGTTCTACTTATTCTTACCTGAATTCGAACTCGTGATATTTTCGGTGGGGGGGGGGGGGGGAGTCAACATTTTTCCGGGAGAGTGGAGCGGACACTGGTAAAAGTATATGTTTTCTATATAAATTCCATTTCGTTCGGGGGGGGGGGCGGTTAACATTCTGCCCCCAGAGATGCCTGGAAGAAACTCTGCAGTCTAGCACTCTACAGCTAGGCCACGCCGCCCCATGTGGGACGTAACACGAATTTTATTCAGGGAATCAAACTCCAGCATTTCGGGTCAGCAGTCGTGCGCTCTACCGCGTAATCACAAAGTCACGGAAATTCCCGATGGATTAAAACAACCACCGTGTTTTTTTTTTGCTTTTTTTTTGTTTTGTTTTTTATTAACAGAACCACCGTGGTTTTAAAATTATTACGCAAATCTTTTCCATTCCAAGACTTCTTGTCCAGCATTCTGCGACTGTTGATCAACCCAGTGTACATGTGCCTCACCATCTCCTCCATCTTGGTCATCTTTAGCGTCAGCGGCACCAGCGCTTACACGCCCAAGTACCTGGAGGCCATGTTTAACTTACCTGCTTACAAGGCTAATTACATACTAGGTGAGATCAATTTACCTGCTTACAAGGCTAATTACATACAAGTTGAGATTAACTTACCTGCTTACATGGCTAATGACATACTAGGTGAGATTAGTTTACCTGCTTACAATGCTAATTATATACTAGGTGAGTTAACTGCTTACAAGGCTAATTACATACTAGGTGAGATTAACTTACCTCCTTACCCGGCTAATTACATACTAGGTAAGTTAACTGCTTACAAGGCTAATTACATACTAGGTGAGATTAACTTACCTCCTTACCCGGCTAATTACATACTAGGTAAGTTAAATGCTTACAAGGCTAATTACATACTAGGTGAGATTAACTTACCTCCTTACCCGGCTAATTACATACTAGGTAAGTTAAATGCTTACAAGGCTAATTACATACTAGGTGAGATTAACTTACCTCCTTACCCGGCTAATTACATACTAGGTAAGTTAAATGCTTACAAGGCTAATTACATACTAGGTGAGATTAACTTACCTCCTTACCCGGCTAATTACATACTAGGTAAGTTAACTGCTTACAAGGCTAATCACATACTAGGTGAGAATAACTTACCTCCTTACCCGGCTAATTACATACTAGGTAAGTTAAATGCTTACAAGGCTAATTACATACTAGGTGAGATTAACTTACCTCCTTACCCGGCTAATTACATACTAGGTAAGTTAACTGCTTACAAGGCTAATCACATACTAGGTGAGAATAACTTTTAAAGTTAATTACATACAAGGTGACTTAAACTTACCTCCTTGTGCCGTGTGTAAACATAACGAATACCAACAAAAGGACATTGTTAAGTTACCTTACCCCATACAATAGGGCTCCAAACAAAACGGCCGCTATATTTTAGCCTACCCTTAAACAGATACTTATCATACGAATACTGTAGTAAATTCTATGTAAAATAATTAGCTTTTTAACGAACTAATCTTTTGTCTAATTATTTTAAGCTTTTATTTTGCCATTAGTATAAGAAAACTGCATTGCGGTGTTGTATGAGTAATCAAAGAGAAAATTCGAACTGTTTATAGATTTCTCTCTGACGAAAGTTTCATCCACATTCATTAATTTTTCTTTATCTTGAGATTAAAAAAACAGTTGTATTTTAACGCATATTCTACATATTGTTGAATTATTAAATAACCTACATAAACATAAAACAAAACCCAAACCCTAACACTAACAAACCCCTTACCATAATACAAAGACAAAACTTAACATATACTGTAACCTTTCCCCAGCCGGTGAGGTACTCTGCTCCTCTTGTGTGGGATCTTTTGTCGGTGGTTTCCTGACCCGACGTTTCAAGATGTCGCCAATGGTCGCCCTCAAGTTCGCCATCCTCGTCATCTGTATCTCCCTGATGGCGACCGTCACGGGGTTTTTCTTTCAGTGTGAGCAGCCCAAAGTCTACAACTGGCCCGGGTGAGTCTAATTATAGAACATTGAGTCTATTTATAGAACATTGAGTCTAATAATAGAACATTGAGTCTATTTATAGAACATTGAGTCTAATTATAGAACATTGAGTCTAATTATAGAACATTGAGTCTAATTATAGAAAGTTACGTTTATTTAAGACAATGTGTTTTAGTACAAGTTACCTACAGATATAGAGGGTATCCATCCAACTACAATCATTTGATTACTAGCTTAGTTTCTAATGAGTACTATGATTGTTTCACAATATGATAAAATTAGTTCAATATAGGGCATGAATCCATACTTTATATACTGGCGTGCTTATAAGTAGATAAGGTAGATTCTTGGCATTTAGTGGCAGTGTATCTTCCAGACTTTTTTCTCCGGGGGGAGACGGGGGGGGGGGGGGGCACTTGATATTTTCGGGGAGTGTGGGGGGGGGGCGGACAACATTTTCGGGTAGGGGGGGGGGGCGGACACTGTTAAAAGTATGTTTTATATAGAAATTCCATTTCGTGAGGGGGGGGGGGGGGGGTGAGGGGGGGGGGGGAGCGGTACACTTTCATCTGGGGGCTCAGTCCCCCCCCCCTCCCGAAGAGATGCCTGGAAGAAACTCTGTTTAATGGTATATATATATATATATATATACATATATATATATATATATATATATATACATATATATATATATATATATATATATATATATATATATATATATATATATATATATATATACATATATATATATATATATATATATATATATATAATATTAATTGGTGTAAATATCTTTACATAATCTCCGTTGCCTCTTTCTCTCTCTCTCTCTCTCTCTCTCTCTCTCTCTCTCTCTCTCTCTCTCTTTCCACCCCATGCGAATGGCTATCTCTGTATCTGTCAATGATCGGATCACTGAGTAACTAATAGATATACGGTCACTTCCTGTGTGGATCAGCCGACTAACTCAATGATAATTGCTCCGACTTTTGAATCTATAAATAGAATAACAAAAGGAAGGAAACGAAATTTTAAACTGATTTCCGCCATTACAAAAATAACATGAAACCTACAGTTCACGACACATCGCATAGGAATTTAAAATAAATATTAGGCCTAACATGAAACCTACAGTTCACGACACATCGCATAGGAATTTAAAATAAATATTAGGCCTATAGGTTTAATACATATTTCTTAGAATATAGAAATTTAGATCTAGTGTTCTGGTTAGTAGTTGTTTCATGTTTATTAGAATATAGTCTAGATTCTAGAATCTAATCATACGGCTGCATAAAAAGAAAACCCATCTAGTTCTAGATCTAGAGAAGCGGAGGTAAGAAGGTTAAATTAGTAATTTACATGATTTTTATTGTAGTTTCACTGTTTGTTAGGCCCAATTATTAAATCTTTAGATCAGAGGTCCAGCTTGATCATGTGTGGTATCTATTGTGGTGCATTGGAATGAAAAGCCCACATACTTAAATATAGAATCTAGTAGGCCTATACTATAACTGTACTGCCCTATACTTTAAATTTGTTACCACAAGAAAAAAGCCTATTTACTATTATTAGTTATAATTAAATTAAATTGAAATATTTGTTTATCTTTATAGTTTATAGTGAATGCATGCTAATGAGCATTATTCAAGCTGCTGTTATATTTAGGCTTATAGGCCTATATACTCTATAGCTTAGGCTATATACTATAGACTATATATTATATACCAATATTGTGCATAAAACTTAAAGCATGTAAGCATACACAATAATAATTATCATTAGACCTATAGTAACTAAGACTCATACTATTTAGTACTACTTTAATACTACCTTTAAACTATTAGGCATAATGAAATAATGATTAATAATTTCAGTGTTTTCCGCACTCAAGAGGAAGGAGGTTGCAGGGAACTTAGAGACTAATCTTTGCCAACATACTGGATTTCTGGTGATGACAATAGGAGCAAATAGTATGCGGCTAAGTTAATACTAAAAACAATTGATTTTAGTAATTAGTGGTAAGCTCTTTTTTAAAATAATATATTATAACATGGTATCGCAAAGGTTCAGGTTGTCTGATAAATGATAATTAGAGTCAGGTTTAGGACTATAGTTTAATGCTTGGTTAGTAATATGCATCAAGTTGGGAAAGACATAGAAATGGAAATACATAGAATTTAATGTGTTCATTCGCAAACGTTACTATTTAAAAATTTTTAGGCCTGCTATTTATTGCTGAATAATAAAATCACTATACTTATCCACTATATTATGTTTAAATAAAGTGAGTTTAGATCAGTCGAGTAAATAAATTTAATAGCAAGACATAACTAAAATTTACAATGAATATATATATATATATATATATATATATATATATATATATATATATATATATATATATATATATATATATATAATGCTATTTTATAAAAGTATGTAAATCACAGAACAAACATTACTTTGTATTTTGTATACAACTTAACAAAAATGCTACTACTTTGATGGATTGCACTAAATAGGGGTTAGCTTTAATTTAATAATTTGTGAGATATTCTTGCTAATCCATGTGTAAATTGCTTTTCAGGACTATGAGTGTGTGTTTGGCCATCCAGATTTCATAACTACAATTGATGTTCAATTACAAGGGATATTAATCAGTCTCCGTGGACTATACACTGCCTAGTTTCATCCTCAGGTAACTGTACTATAGGCATAACCCATTTTTTAAAGTAATTATTAAATATAGCAAGAGATAGCATTATATGTTAAAATAAATATAATGGATTTTAATCCAAAATATTTTATTAATTATTGTCTTTTCTTAAATTCTAATAAATCAGTGAGTTGTACAACATAGAGGGTATTATATTTGAATGATAATTGAAACACATATTGTTATAGAGCTCAAAACTATGTACTTATCTAATATAATTAATATACTGAAACAGTTTTATTGAAGCATATTATTTCATATTTTACCACACAGAGACTGATGTGTAAGCTTAAAGTAAAGACATCAAATCAAAGTATCAGCTATCAAGAGGGTAAATATTGATAGTCTACTTCATTAATCTTCAATATGAATGAACACAATTTTAAATCTATAATATTTGCTGATAATGTTTGTTTCTTGTTCTTCATCATGTTCAGTGCTTTATCTTTTCAAAGTAATTAGTTATAGTAAAGAAATAGTAGAGATATTAATATAAATTTGTAATGTATTTCTCTTGCTAGTTCCACAAAAGAATATTTCAAAATATTTTGTCTTTATTTCATTTACAGAAGAACATTCAAAATCATATTGTGATACACAAATCAAGCAAGTCTATAACCAGCAATATGATACAGGCCAAGAAAAAGCTGGTTACTTGATTGGAAGGGTGTCACAAAAAAGATGGGTTATCACTAGGGAAACAAGCTCGGAATACAGTTCACTGTTGGGACATCAAGCCAAATACTTCTAAACTTATTTGAATCATTTTTGCTGTTTATTATAATTCATCCAATTGTCTTATTAAATATATAAATTTATATATATACACAATTCCTAATATAGAATTTCTAAAAATGTTTTATTATAATATTTAAAAATGAAACAAACATGTTCCCAGAACACAGCCACATAATGTCAACATGTTCCCAGAACACAGCCACATAATGTCAACATGTTCCCAGAACACAGCCACATAATGTCAACATGTTCCCAGAACACAACCACATAATTTCAACATGTTCCCAGAACACACAAAATGGCAACATGTTCCCAGAACACACAAAATGGCAACATGTTCCCAGAACACAGCCAAATAATGGCAACATGTTCCCAGAACACAGCCAAACAATGTCAACATGTTCCATGAACTCACAAAATGGCAACATGTTTCAAGAACACACAAAATGTCATTATGTGCCCAGAACACACAAAATGGCAACATGTTCCCAGAACACACAAAATGGCAACATGTGCCGAGAACACAAAAAATGACAACATGTGCCGTTAACAATACTTCACTTGGCCTGTCCCATGCATAGTATTTAGCCTAGTGTTTTGGGCCTTGCTTCATTTACTCAATAAATTATATAGGCATGAGAATTTTCATTTTAATCTGCAAAAGCTACATTCTGTACATTATTATTTTCAAACTACATCATATATTTTTCTCCTCTCTGATAAAAAATATTCCTCATATTGTTTGTGTCAAGTATTTTATTTTTATCTATGCAATGCTATATTCCTATTTTATAATAATTACTTTTATACAAATTCTTTTGAAAACTGTTCTTTATTGATTTGTATCATTTTCTTTATTTCTGAAAAATAAAACTTTGTTTGGGAATCCTTTTTTTGTTTCTGTACAAATTAATAAACATAAATACCTATCAGGCTTAATATCCAGCAACATTAAACAATTAAGTAAGGCCTATTGTTAGTAATGGTAAATTTTATACTAATTAATGTGATTTCTCCTGGCCACCTTGTTCTGAATACCTTCAACTGTGTCAATGTTGCTACCAACTCCAATAATTAAAACTGAAGTCATTTACTATGAAGTAAAACTTGGGTGTTATCCAAATCCACCCAGTTGCCGGGGGCAAGGTACCAAACATGATGTCCAGTAGAGGGTTAATAAAGTATCATTATTAAATCACTATTAAACCCCTCCTCGCCTACGCCATTGCTTGTACGCATATGGAAGTTATCGGAATTTACTGTATTGCTTATAAGTCGAAAATGCGAAAAAGACACGTTTAACATTACTAGTTTGAAGAATAACATTCATGTTAGCCGAAACAGGTGTATTCTAAAGTTGTTAAAATTCATTTTATTGTTCATTACGATTATGTTGTCGTAAAATATAGGCCTATTTTAAAAAAGCATAACTAAAAAGTGTTTTAACGCATTTTCTTCTTAGAAAAGCCTCACATGCATGATATCATTAACATTACGGCAAATCAAACCCTTGAAGAAACCCCATCAACCATTCAATTATTACGATGGGCAACAAATAAAACGCCCGCATCAAGGTACAGTCCTTATGCTATCGACATTAGCTCAACCCCGGCAACTAACGTGTCCCAAAACCAAGAATTGAAATCTTGACCCATTATTCTGATTAATTAGTGGTTAAACATCTTTAGGCATCTGAAAACGTTAGTTTTTAATCTAGTGTACTCAAAAAGGAACAACATAAAGCTTTATGCCGCCTTAAAAATAAAAACCCAATCCCATGTTACGCAAGGCGTCGATAGAGAAAGAATATGGCTTTGAGTCAGAACAGGCAAGGGCTTAGATAACTGCCAAAATACCTAATCTGTAGACCTCACAAGTCTAGACGATATATTTGTGCCTCTGTTTTTAGACTTTCAGAACAAATGCATGACTGTGATGTGGTCAGTAGGCACATAAAAGAGAAAAGTAGTTTTAATCTAGAGACTTCAAACATTTCTGAAGGACCGAATTTGAACTTGTAGGCGGTGGTGTCGATGCCAAAGTTTAGCGTCGTCCGCAAAGATAAGCTATCGTTATATAATCTCTATGCCCATATTGTGACAGATATTTACAAATGTGTCTAATATAGGACAGAATACATAGCTACTCAATAGAGATAAGCGCAATCATTTGTCCACGACTTAAGAAACCACTGTACTGCAAAACCCACCTAAATGGAAAATGTCTTAGACAGAGTTTCTTCCAGGCATCTCTTCGGGGGGGGGGGGGGGGGGGGGCTCCCCCGAAAATTTTTTACCGCCCCCCCCCCCCCCCGAACGAAATGAAATTTATATAATTTATATAGAAAATATATACTTTTAACAATGTCCGCCCCCCCCCCCCCCCGAAGAAAGTCTACCGCCCCCCCCCCCAAAGAAAGTCTACCGCCCCCCCGGAGAAAAAAGTCTGGAAGAAACACTGAGTCTTAGATGTGTGTTTTAATACAAATGTGTACCTCGTCGCGAGTTAGGACCTGTAGGTAGTCTGTTACTACTCTATATCTAAAAACAATAAAAAGATAACGTGAATTTTACTTGTTCAATTTCTTGGATAACTGTATTTGTTGCATCTTGTTCAATTTTGTTAATATTGATTAACCTAAAGGGTTCAAATGTAACAAAGAAAATTGTGACTAAGTTTCCGGGTGCGGGTATGCGGACACTAGTTAAAGTAGGCCCTATATATCTATTTATATTTATAGAAATGAAAAATTGTTTATCTGTTTGTCCTATATGAATTTCTACATCTTTTTCATCGGATCGCCATAAAACTTTGTGAACAGAGTTTTTTCCAGGAATCTATTCGGAGGGGGGGGGGGGGGGGGGGGGGTGAGGGAGGCAGAGCCCCCCCACCCCCCGAAGAAAGTCTATCGACCCCCCCCACCCCCGAACGAAACGGAATTTATATAGAAAAAAATATATACTTTTAACAGTGCCCGCACGCCCACCCCGCCGGAAAGATTTCGCCAGGGCGGCGCCCTAGCAGGAAGCAGAGGTGTAGCAACCTATTCCGGCGCCCGGGGCGAACTATCACTGTTGTGCCAACCCTATTCAAACGCTGGCAAAAAGGCGCCCATCCCTACATACACTCCCCTATATAAAATAATTGAGGATATCAGTCATGGATAAATCTGTTTTCTTAAATTTTACTGAAGAATGAGGATTTTAAAAAAAATTGTCTACAGCTTTTGGCGCCCCATTCGATCTGGGGTCTCTGACAGGAAGCAATGCAATTTTTCTCCATAAAAATAAAAGCCAGATGCAATTTGACACTGTTCGTACGAGAGTCATAAAATTTTGGGGAGTTGGTGAAAAGGGTTTCGAGAAAGAAAAAAATTCTTAAGTGTGGCACCCTGGGAGGATTCGATTTTTCTCATTATACGATTATGAGCTCAGAATCCAGAGGGGAATCCAGAGGGGCTATCTCATCAATTGCGGTCATAGGTAATACTAGATTCAGCAGAGGCGTAGCGAGGGGGGCGGGGTGTACATATGTCCCCGGGCGCCAACCCTAGGGGCGCCAAAATGGGTGAGAAAAATTTAAAAGCTCATTTTAGCTACAGTTTTGCATTATAAATATTTAAAAAATACGGGGGGGGGGGGACGCCAAATTGAAAGTTTGTCTCCGGCGGGAGGGGGGGGCGCCAAATTGAAAATTTGTCCCCAGGCGCCAGGAATGGTGCTACGCCTCTGAGATTCAGTGATAAAACTACACCAGGTTCATCCGCCAGCTCCCTGGCAGTTGAGTGGCCCAGAGCGGCCAATACCCACCTCGGGCGACACTACGGTTTAGATGGGCTACTATAAATGTTCACTAAGTAGAATAATGAGCGCCCGCCGGCGCCCTGGCAGTTGGCGACAGCAAGCGCCCCGGGCTCTACAGAGAGTGCCTCTTTAAAGAGCACCCTACAATAGGGACACGGTGGCACACGACATTTTATAATTAAACCGAATTAGGGGCGCCCCTGCGGGAGTATAACCAGTGGCTCCCTGGAGCGCCAAGGGACGCGTCTCTAACACATGGGCGGTCGCAATGTGTGTTCTACCTCACTATTACAGAGGTTGATTAACGTACACTCAAGGCTTTCATACAATGAGCCTTGGTGCGTCTAGGCGGCAGTGTGGACAAACCCGCGCCCCAAAAACGAATATGTGGGTTTGTTTGTATAAGCATTACCAAAGATTTCATTCGTTTGTCATTCAAATCTGAGAAGTTAATGCTAATACCCCTGTGGTGGTTTCTGCGAAAAAAAAATTCGATTTGGTGGCGCCCTGGCAGGGTTCCATTTAGCTCCCCGTGTTTTCCCGTGAGTACTATGGTACCTTTGTTCGTTTTAATAATTGCGAAACGCTATGAATATGATGGGCTACTATAATCGCTCCCTATACCGAGTGAGGCGCCTTCCTACCTACACCCACCTACCTACATACCTAACTCCCTGCTTATGTAGTATGTACCTACCTATCTACTAACCTGCCTGCGCTGCTGCCTGCCTACCTACTTTCCTACCTACCGTTATTCCTGCCAAACTGCTTTCCTTCCACCCCGCCTGTCTACCCACCTCACATCCTACTTACACACACATATATCTTCGTATATATATATATATATATATATATATATATATATATATATATATATATATATATATATATATGTATGTGTTAGTGTGCTCTAGGACTATGTATTTTTACATTTTTGTTGTTACGTAGAAATATTCAGTATAAAGGAGTTTCCTTTTTTTTTGACGTTGTAACTGCCGCTAAAATATTCTTTTTTTGTATGTGTGCATAAAATAGTGTAGGTTTATTAACAAAAGTAAATTTTAGTATGTATTTAAGTGTATATAATCATTTTCGTCAAGCCAATGTGTTCATAATCTTAAATTTAAAAACCCATGAAACTCGATAGCCAAAGATTTAGAATGAGAATAATTGCTATTTAACCAGAAACACCCATTCTAATTATTGTAATAATATTTTTTTTAAATAAATATACACAGAGATAGATTGCTTTCTTATATAATTAATTTAAAAAGTCAACTGTATTTCATAACGAAAATTAACACAAAATACATTCGAATAGAAACTGTCAAGGGAGACTACTCTAATATTTGTAGGAATAATAGTTTTTATTTAGAGTTTTTTTTTTTATTATTAGAAGAAAAGTTAATCATGTAGGTTCTATAAAAGATTACCTTGCATTTAAAAAAAAAGATATTCGATAGGTTTAGAATGAGAAATAGTCAAAATTATTTATTATATTCATTAGTTGTTTTTTTTAATAATATAGTACAAAGACCTGTTTTAATTATTTTTTAAAAATCTTATTTTAATTAATAAATCATAAATGAAGATCGAGGATCTATATTTTTAAAAAATAGTTTAACTGTCCCTAAACAATTGTATCAATCGCTGAGAAATTAAGAATTAATAATTACGTTTAACGCTTTATTTATTAAACGAGTTGAATTATTTCCGTTTTGATAAACTCTCTCTCTCTTTATAACTACTAACGCTTTATCATTGAGTTTCTCGAGAGAAAAATACAGGAGAGCGGTAGTTATCATTGACTCTGTCATTGATAATTTCATTGAGTCTTTCATAGAAAATAGTGTTTGATCGGCTGCTCTTTCTCTCTCTCTCTTTCTCTCTCTCTCTCTCTCTCTCTCTCTCTCTATATATATATATATATATATATATATATATATATATATATATATATATATTAGTATTTAGTAAAATTATCTTATTTTAGGGAAAACAATACATGCAGCAGGGGATGCAACTGTGAAGACAACAGTTACTTCCCAATATGCGGATCAGATGGTAGAACGTATTACTCCCCTTGTACAGCCGGGTGCGTGGAGAGAGAAAAAGGGGTAGGTTCAAGATGGAGATCATCCAGGAGCCAGCGATAAAAACGCCACCTCTTGTAATATATCTACCACCCCCCCCCCAACCTCACCACCCCTGGTATTTTACATCCCTTTTATTGATAATTTTTAATAATACATTTTTAAATCTTTCTTCAAACGATCAATTAAAAACAAATACAAATATGAAATAATTAAACATTCGAATTGTAATTATAAAGCTAAAAGAAAATTAATGTAAGAAAAATGATTTTTTTTGATGAGAGAAAACGTAAAAAATAAATTAAAAAAAAACGCATCTTAATTTATTACGAATGGCGTAGTCGGATAGAAGATGTGACTGCTAACCCGAAATTTTCGAGTTCGAATCCCAGATTCATGTCAGTATAACGTCCTTGAGCTCTGATGGGTACCCGAGACACGTTATAGAAAATAAAGATTGGATAGTGCCGACCACACATTTTATATACCGAGGACACTCAAATCGATGAACTCTACTTCACCTGCCACATGGACCGTCAAGTTTTAATCAGTTACTTATAAAACAAGATAATCTATACTTATAACACAGGCCATTCAATACTTAAAAAAACAAGGTAATCGAGAATTATTCAAACAGGATAATCGAAACTTATAAAAATGGTAATCGATACTTATGTAATCGGCCACTCATTGAAACCCCTGTATGATATGTGTGTTAATAGACCTGGTTTGCCTGAAGGTGTATGTGTGTATGTGTGTATGAGTGTATGTGTTTATGATTGTATGTGTGTATGTGTGTATGTGTGTATGTGTGTATGTGTGTATGTGTGTACGTGTGTACGTGTGTACGTATGTACGTGTGTACGCGTGTATGTGTATATATGTGAATGTGTGTTAATGGACCTGGTTTACCTGCAGGTGTACCTGAACTGTACCTGTATAGCAGGTGGCACGGCCTCCAGCTTATGTGTGTATGTATGTGTGTATGTATGTGTGTATGTGTGTATGTGTGTATGTGTGTTAATGGACCTGGTTTGCCTGCAGGTGTATGTGTGTATGTGTGTGTGTATGTGTGTATGTGTGTATGTGTGTATGTGTGTTAATGGACCTGGTTTGTCTGCAGGTGTACCTGAACTGTACCTGTATAGCAGGTGGCACGGCCTCCAGTGGAACATGCGACTATAGCTGTGCCCACCTGTACCCGTACGCCGTGTTTTTTGGCATCCGGCTGCTCTTTGGTACCTTGTCCATCATCCCCAAGTTAATCCTTCTATTGAGGTAATCTTTATCCACTATTCTAAGAATCCTTATATGAGGTAATCTTAACTCCTTCTACTGAGGTAATCTTAACTCACTATTCTAAGTTAATACTTATATGAGGTAATCTTAACCCGTAATTTTAAGCTGATCCTTCTATTGACGTAATCCTTACCCGTAGAAGTTATACGTTCTATTAAGATAATCGTAAACAGCTATTGTAAGTTATTCCTTCTATTGAGTTAATCCTTAGCCGCCAGTCTAAGTTAATCCTTCAATTGAGTTAATCCTTACCAGTTATTTAAAGTTAATCCTTCAATTGAGGTAATCCTTTTGCAGTTTACTCTGAAACTAACAGTAATCTAAAGGTAGATCTTAACATTTAATTTTAAGTTTGTCCTTGTCACGAAGTCATTCTCACTCGTTAGTTTGAGCTAAATACATTTAGATAATCCTCACCCATTAATCTAATATTATCCTTCTCACAGGGGAATCCGTTATTCTAATGCTAAGAATAATCTTAAGGCAAAGTTTTTATTCTTAAATTTACCCTTCAATTTAAATGTTAATTGTTTTTAAGGTTTTGAAACATTTTGTCGTTTTAAGCTGAAATACGATATTAAATATTACAATACGTCACAGGTGTGTTAACAACAAGGACAAGTCTCTGGCTATCGGGTTCGAATCCTTCCTGGTATCACTTTTAGGTGAGTCAAATTTTCATGTCATATAGGCTCGCAGAACTTGTAAGCTTGAGAAGAGTGGGTCTCAACCTGGGATTCATGATACCCTATGGGGTTCCAGGCTCTACGGCAGCGACCATTTTGTTTTTATTTTTAGTACAACACATTGTACACGGTATTGGGGTACAGTGACCTAGATGTGTGTGCTACAGCGACCTAGATGCTAGGGGTACAGTGATCTAGATATGTTGTGGTACAGTGACGTACAGTGACCTAGATGTGTGGGGGTAGAGTGACCCAGTTTTGTGGGTGTGGGCTTAAGCAACCTAAATGTGCGGTCATTAACACCCACTGAACTACATGTTTAAGGTTCCAGTATATAACATTAACTAACTTTTTCATAACCACCCTAACATTTAGTATACTCAAATGTTAATTAAATCTTATTTCTACAAATTCACGCAAACAATTTGCTAAGTCCTACATAAGTCTAATGTGTTTAGTTGAATCCGCGTATAAACAAGTTAGTTGTGAGATCCTATTCATCAAACCGTTTTATATATTGCAGGCGTTAACAAATTATTAATGTAAATCGTAGGGTAACCAGTTTTATGTAATCAATTCTTAACCAACGCTACCCGTTTTAGCACATTATTACATTTTTTATATAAACAACATCCTTAGCCCTTTCTACTTATACAATTTATTAATGATCCAACTTATCTTTGTATTACTCTAAAACATCATATCACAAACAATCACTATGTGTACATCAGCGAAAAGTAAAAAGCAGTGTTTCTTCCAGACTTTTTTCTCGGGGGGGGGGGGGGGGGAAGGGGTACTTGATATTTTCGGGGTGGGGGGGGAGTGGGTGGGCGGGAACATTTTCTGGGGGGGGGGGGCGGACAATGGTAAAAGTATATGTTTTCAATATAAATTCCATTCCTTTTGGGGGGGGGGGGTGGTAGACTTCTTAGGAAGAGATGCCTTAAAGAAACTCTGGTAAAAAATGACGAATAAATCAAGGACATTAAAAGTCACAAAACTAACACGTATTACCTTTGCAATGTTGTGTCTGTAGATTTATATCTTGTTTGTTTTCTTTCCCGTCAGGCTGGCTGCTTGGTCCGCTTGTCTTCGGCTACGTCATCGACGGGATCTGCGTCCAATGGGACTCCAGCTGCGGGGTCAGGGGTCGCTGTCTGCTGTACGACCACCGGCTGTTCCAGCTGAAGCTGCACGGCTACATCGTCGTGCCCGGGGCGGGGTGCCTCCTCTTCATGTTCATCGCCTTCTTCTACGCCAGGGCCACGGGGTGCCTGGAGGGGGAGGCGACCCCCGGGACTCGTGACGTCACGGAGATGACGCTGGTGATAGACTCGGTGAAACATGCGCCGGATGAAGAGAATCACATATCACGTGAGGGGAATGACACAGATGGTGGGAATCACACATCGGATGATGTGAATACCGCATTGCACGATGTGAATAATGAAAAAGACATTGAAGACCGAGAGAAGAAATACTTTGAAGACGGCCGTCCATGAAGAATAACTCATACAACATCCACACGTTTTCTCATAGTAGAGGGATCCTGTGTAGGGTGTGTGTGTTTGTGAGTGTGTGGAAGAGTATGTGTGTGATAGAGTGTTATCTGCGTGGGTGTGTTTTTGAGCATAGTGATGGATGCGTATGTTGTGGATTTTTTGTTTAATTTTCACCTTTTTTTTTCTCAATATATAACATTGTTATTTATAAATGAAATAAAGATATATAAAAAAACAACACTTCTGACAGATCGGCCGTCAAGTCCTGCGACAGGTTTTCCTGCGACAGGTACCTGTCAGGACCTTGTTTAACTGGACCTGTGCCAGGTTTTAAGCTATGTTTAAAGACAAAAGCCGGTTTAAGCTATACACATTTCAACGGAGATACATATAATTAGCATACAGCTGATGGGACGATGAATTACCTTAATCCTAACACAAATAAACATTTGCAGTTTTTTTTTACTTGAAAATAAGTTAATTGTATTCATCTAAAATACGCTTAACTTAAGCCTTTTTAAAAAAATATTTTATCCCTTTGACATCATTCAATTATAGGCTGTTTTTGTCTCTATGGTTAGGTTGGTGTTAAAAAACTTTAATGTAAACTACGAACATTCATCAGAACTGTTGGTCCTTAAAGCAGATGTAGCAGAGTTTAGTAGTGTGTGGTCAGCACAACGCAAAGCTCCCTGCCCAACAAGAGCTGAACACGGTTTAGAGCTGAGTGGACTCGGGAAGGTTTAGGGAATCCACATTTGTTCAGAGTTATCCACTGATATAGTGCTCGATTTGATGACAGTTTCAACGTTAATCATTTCAAAAAATGTTTATTTTAAGCATCTCTTGGGGGGAGGGTGGGGGGGGGGGGGGGGGAGGGAGGTAATGGTAAGCACGCCAACAGCCCCCTCCCCCAGAACGAAATAAAATTTCTATAGGAAATATAAACTTTTACCCGTGTTCACCCCCCCCCCTCCCCCCTCCCCTCGACAATTTTAGTCGTCCACCCTCACGAGGAAAAAAGTCTGAAAGAAACATATTTTAAATATCGCCGTTTCTAGGAAATATGATGTCTTTTTATGCTAGTATTTCAGTAACAACATCTCTTAACATTCATCAACATCTTTAGTAACTTAGTTTTCTCTTAAAAAACAAACATTAAAAAATTTAACTGATGTGAACAGTGATGGACTGGGCCGACGGTCTACCGGAAAAAAATCCTTGTGGGCCCCCAGGAGCGTTGTGTACTATGTGCTGTACTAGGCTTATTGCTTTAATGTAAAAAAAAAATAATTTCGCGTGATTTTTCATCAAGCTAAGGATGATCATCAGGTATTGATAAGGAAAAAAATGCACAATGAGAATTTTAATCTGGCCGTTACGAGTCCCTTTAAAAAAATTGTTCCTAGCCTCTTGGACACAATCAGACCACCACCAGATGTAAGTGTGTGGGTGTTGAGGGGGGGGGGGGGGGGCTGTTACTTTCATCTACAAGTACAAGAGAAACCATGATATGGTCTATTTACAATGATTAGCCAACCCTGAGGTTGGGTTGGTTACAACAGTTGGACAACCACATTGGAGCCTGCTTACATGTGCATTATAACACCTGGTTGCTCTGAAGTGTGTTTGTGTGTGTGTGTGCTGGGGTGTCTACAACTTTGAAAACACCCCTGGGAGGGGGGGGGAGCTGTCTACAACGTTAAAACCGACCTCCCCTGGGGGGGGGGGGAGGGGATGTCTACAACTTAAAGAGTTAAAGACAAAACCCCCGCGATGGAAGAATGCCGTTTCCGACCTAAGGCCTAGAGTGTTAATTAACTCATTAGCCATTTGTTTAGTTAGTTTTTTGGTGACAGAACTAATTAGCAGGTCGCTAACGTCAGTGAACGCATGTTTGGGCTGTTGGTTTTTTTTTTGTTCGTGATTTACTGTCTCCTGGTGCTGTCTGTCTGTCACAGATCTAAAGCTGTCTGTTACAGATTTGCCGGACAGTCTATTACAGATATGCCGGACAGTCTATTACAGATTTGCCGGACAGTCTATTACAGATATGCCGGATAGTCTATTACAGATATGCCGGACAGTCTATTACAGATACGCCAGACAGTCTATTACAGATATGCCGGACAGTCTATTACAGATATGCCGGACAGTCTATTACATATATGCCGGACAGTCTATTACAGATATGCCGGACAGTCTATTACAGATATGCCGGACAGTCTATTACAGATATGCCGGACAGTCTATTACAGATATGCCGGACAGTCTATTACAGATATGCCGGACAGTCTATAACAGATATGCGGACATGCTATTACAGATGTGCTGGACGGTCTATTAAAAATGTGCCGGACAGTCTATTACAGAAATGACAGACTGTCTATTACATACTGAAGACAAGTTCCATATACTTGAAACATGACCTATCTACATTTAATAGAACAATACTACAAGTCTAACACTAGTTGAGGATAAGTTCCATATACTTGACCTATTACTAAATACTACAGATGCTCTACGAATTCTCCTAGTTTACCGCTAGTTGAGGATAAGTTCCATATACTTGCAACATAACCTATATACATTGAACAGAACAAACACTACAAGTCTAGCGCAAGTTTAGAACAAGTTCCATTTGCTTGCAACATGGCCTATATACATTGAACAGAACAAACACTACAAGTCTAGCGCAAGTTTAGAACAAGTTCCATTTGCTTGCAACATGGCCTATATACATTGAACAGAACAAAAAGCACCACAAATGAACACTAGCGTAAGTGTTGAGGGACAAGTTCCATATTTTTAAAACAAGGTCTATATACATCTATCATACATCCGATTCTCCATGGGAGTTGCAACAGCTACCCGAATGTCCCGCTGTGCAATGATTTAAAACAACAACATGAAATTACAACCTACTTTTAAAATTTCTCAATATCTCCTTGTTAACTGTAACACCCCCTCCCCCTACATCCACTCCTCCTACTTTCCCCTCCCCTACACCTCCTCCACCTCCTCCACCTACATCCCCCTCCCCCTACACCCGAACCTTTTCAGAAAAACCCTGGATTGCCCATCATGATTTAGGTTGATCCCGGAACTAACCCTAAAAACATACCTTATCAACAGCGCACATCAACATGTATATCAACTTTCAACATGCGATCCCGTTCTAACATCTTCTTTGTGAACAAATCTTCTCTGTACATGTAGGTAAGTACATGTTTCGTTTCGTTTCTTTCTGCTATCCTAAAACACGGATTAGAAGTAACCTTGAAACATGGATTAGAACAATGTACCTGTATAAAAGTTGAGACACAAACAAATCTTCTCTGTACATGTAGGTAAGTACTTGTTTCGTTTCGTTTCTTTATGCTACCCTAAAACACGGAATAGAAGTTACCTTAAAACATGGATTAGAACAATGTACCTGTATAAAAGTTGAGACACAAACAAATCTTCTCTGTACATGTAGGTAAGTACTTGTTTCGTTTCGTTTCTTTATGCTTCCCTAAAACACGGATTAGAAGTTACCTTAAAACATGGATTAGAACTTTGTACCTGTATAAAAGTTGAGACACAAACAGGTTGTTAGGATCGGAAAATGCGTGTTTTTTTTGTTAACTGTATCATGTGCAGGTGGATTTATTTCTCATTAAAAAGCGGATTACTTTAATTACAAGAGGTAAATGTCCGGGGGAGTAATTGATAGAGTTGGGGGGGGGGGGGAATGGTAATGGCTTGCTCCTACTTCAACAAACCAATCAACAAACAGCTTCTATAGTTACAGTTTCTAGTTTATGACTTGGTGTTATCTTCTCACATGAACAACACACACTTAACACAATACAGTAGTCTAAATCTACAGCAATAACTACGTTAACTACAGTAGACAACATCTACACCAATAACTACATACACTACAGTAGTCTACATCTACACCACTAACTACATAAGCTACAGAAGACAACATCTACACCAATAACTACATACACTACAGTAGTCTATATCTTCACCAATAACTACATACACTACAGTAGACAACATCTACACCAATAACTACATACACTACAGTAGACAACATCTACACCAATAACTACATACACTAGAGTAGACAACATCTTCACCAATAACTATATACACAACAGTAGACAACATCTACACCAATAACTATATACACAACAGTAGACAACATCTACACCAATCACTACATACACGACAGTAGACAACATCTTCACCAATAACTACATACACATAGTACAGTAGTCAACACATGGATCAATAACTACATTCGCATTTCCGTATGTAGTAATACACACCAGTCTACTAATAAAAAAAAAAGAAAAGAATATCAAACTATATCAAGATGCAAAAGTTCACAGTTAGTTATTGTACGAGTTTATCATTATTTAATATATTTTTATATATTAAATTTTCTCAACCTAGCTATATACTCAAGTTATCGTGTTCGCAGAGACACATACACAGCCACGGACAGAATTGCAAAGCTTAGTTTATCCGACTCGATGACGCGTAAATTACAAAATTTTGATAAATCTGGATTTAGAATTTTCGCCCGATTAAAATAGGTCCCCTATGCTCGTTATATGCTGAAATACTGAGGTATACAACGATTAAAACTGTCAAAATTTCATGTAATTTTTGTGCACGATTACAATACTTTCTCTATACTCTGTATACGACATAGTAAAAAAAAACGGCGGGTGGATGGGCGTATTTACCTAGCAATGAATAATATTTGCTTAGAACGAAATATCTACCTTAGCTTAGGACACCCTTATCTTTGGGGGGTTGACCTTGACCTTTTAACCCCAAAACATCAAGATGTTCAGGTAAACAGTCAACAGAAATTGTTGATGTTTTTGTGCGGTATAAAAAAAAGGTTAAAAAATGGTACAATAATTTTTGATAAACATTTGATAGTGGAGACGAAAGAGTTCTTGAGTAAACTTAAAGATGTTGTGAAACAACATTCTATTTTAAAATCACGTGATTTGTAAACGCAAGAAACACGTGACTATGTACAATGTAAATTATCCAATAACATCTAATCGTTGTTTTTTTTTTAATCTTGAATGACTGGGAAGTTGTATCTTAGTTTGGTGTATCAGGTTGATACGTTGGTTAGCAGGTTCTCCTAGTTTATTGCTGCAGGAAAAAGTACCCAAACACACGTAATCACTAAAAATGATTGGGGTCGGCGTGGTCGAGTCGGTAAAAGCTCATGGTCGCTAAACCGAACCTACGGGCAGATGATGCTCTTTAACTGGGGACAGCCACTCTTCTAGGAGAGACAACTCCAAAAATTAACTGCTGCAGGCTAAAATCGGAGTCAATGGCCTCAATGGCGCATAATCAGTTGACACGTATACTTAACTGTGTTGGAAGGGATCCCTCCCAACACTAAAATTAAGAACGAAGAAGAAGAAGACTGAAAATGGTGTACTCTACTTCACCTGACCTAAGGACCGTAAGGTTCGATAGGGAACTTTTAAATAGAGAAATTGATAATCAAAAAAGCAACCATGCATGCGAGGTCACTGACAATGGTGTACTTTACTTCACCTAATCTAAGGACCGTTAGGTTCGAAAAAGGAAATTCACAATAAAGACATTATTGATTGATTCTGCTATTTAGGTTAGAATTTGGAACGAAGTGGCATTATACTGATGTGGGTTGTTTTTTTTTATAGAAATAATATTTGCTCCGTACTCAAAGTTACTTTCTTGAAATGAAAGAAATATTTAGTTCTAATAAATAGGAAAATCTAATTGAACCTATGGTCAGAGGCGTAGCAAGGGGGGGGGGGGGAGGGGGGGGACATATGTCCCCGGACGCCGACCGTAGGGGGCGCCAAAATGGGTTGGAAAAACAAATTGAAAGTTTGACGGGGTGTGCAAATCGAAAATTTGAGGGGGAGTGCAAATCGAAAGTTTGAGGGGAGGGGTACAAATTGAAAGTTTGTCCCCGGGCGCCGGGAAGGGTCGCTACGCCTCTGCCTATGGTATAGCACACTGCAGATTTCAGTTCGGGTTACGAGCTCTACCTCACCAAACTTACAAGACGCCAAGTATGATAGTGATTTTTGTTTACTTTTTTTTTTTATTGTCATACAAAAATGTTGGAAATAAAATGACAAAGGGAGATAACCCAGTAAGTCTTACTCTAGGGGCAACAATCTATGTTAGTATTCTTGTGGTAATTTTTTAATTTTTTATTGTAAACAAAAATAAGCGCAGTAAACACCGTGACTTAGCATGGAAAAAGGAATATAACACGACATTTACATGGACATTTACATGATAATGGGATATCTCAAGTATCAAGTTACCTGCACTGGAGTTTAGAAAAAAACAAAATGGGAAAGTCAACAAACAATCCCTACAGCCATGCGCAAACTCCTCATCTAGCCCGATCCCTCTCCACGCCACAACTATATAGACCCAGAGGCGTAGCGAGGGGGGGGGGGGGGCGGGTGTCACCATTTAGGGGGGTGACACCAAGGCAAGAAATAGCAAAATATATAGAGAAAAATGATAAATAGTGTTTTAAGAGGTGCAAATCGAAAGTTTGAAGGGGAGGGGGGGGGGGGTGCAAATCGAAAATTGAAAGCTTGTCCCCGGGAAGTGTGGCTACGTCTCTGGGGGGGGGGATGACACCATCAAGTACCGCACCGGGTAATACACCCTACCTCGCTACGCCACTGTATAGACCCACATACTTGTATTCCTGCCGTCCCTTCCCACCTTACCAAGTACAAATTTCCGACCCCCTCCCCCCCACCTCATGTCCGACCTCATTCTCTTCCGAAGCCAGTTTCATGGTCAACACCTACAAAATAGAGATTATGACGTCACGCTTTAAGAACCTACCTGTTAAAAAAAAACCTACAACAACGAGAGGCGGGGCTTAAGAAAAACAACAAGGCCTGACCTTGTCGTGACCTTGCAGTCAGCTGTCATGTTGGATAGTCTCAAGGCGGACAACTCGACTGGAGTTACGTAAAGTCGCGGACTCTCTGCGTGCAGGTTACGTTATTAGCGTGTGTTTATTTTATCAGGATACACCGTAGGCCCAGGTGCCTGTCATTAGGTTAGGTGATTATTTTTAATTAGTTTTAAGATTTTAGATATGTGTGGTTATGTGGTTAATCTGAAGGGAGATGGACATATACTGACCATCATTAAGCATGTAGATTACTTCACAGTTAGGTTTTAAGCTGGAGTTGAGGCTAAGATTGTAACAAGAATCCTTAACGGGATCCAGCGTCGATTAAGGTAGAGTTTGAAAGTGATATGAATTTATGTTATAAATTTTACTGCGTTAATATAGCGATGGATTTTAGGTTAATGCTGAGGATTTATAAATTGAAAAAAAAACCTTAATAGAAGCTGGAATTTGAGATAGATTTGAAGGATTTGAGTATATCAAGCGGTTAGGTTGTTTGATTAATTCTTCTTCTTCATTAAATGTTATACCAGAGGAGATATCCAACAACAAGTATTACGTGCAGAGTTTCTTCCAGGTCTCGAAGAAAGTCTACCGCCCCGTACCCACCTCCGAACGAAATGGAATTTATTTAGAAAACAAATACTTTTACCAGTGCCAATATCAATTGTTCCCCCCCCCCCCCGGAGAAACAAGTCTGGAAGAAACACTGACTACGTGTCATAATTTTATGCTCCATAAGAACATCTGGTTCCAACTTCGGCCTGCTTTTCGCTCTGGATTTGCTTCCATTATCTTTCTCTATTCAAGAACAACCTGCAAGGAAGCATTCATTGTATTTTGGAGTTTTTTTTCCGAGATGGGTTGCTGACACCCCCCACCCCCACCAGTCATATCTGCTTGGGGTTCGAACTCAGGGATTTTGGAGTGAGCAGTCTTGCTTTCACTTGCCCGACTTAGACTGGTGATTTCAATCGATGTTGTGTTAGGATAGGGGTTTAAAAGATTAAATGCAGGAGCTTGAGTTAAGATGAGGCTCGGGTGACGCTACTTTTTCATACATGGAGTGATAGACACCAATTAATTAATTAAAAGCAGAAGTACTACACAATTAGATTAATTTAAAATTTACTTTCGTTTAACAGCGCCTCGTTTGGTTACAAACACACGCCCAAACAACGCTAAACAATATCGTTTACAAATTGATTTTTTTAAAATAGAAAAATAGTAGAAGTTATACCAAGATGGAGACGCGCAAAACGAAAGCGGAAGTGAAAGATGTTGACGGAAATGACGGAAGTGAAAGTAAAAAGAGAAGACTGGTGTACCACGTGACCCACCCCTTCTCAAGTATCTGGTGTTTTACAGGGTTTTACAGTCTGGCTGGGCTGGTCACCTCGACTTTAACAACATATGTTAATTCACAGGTGTGTTGTGTGTACAGGTGTTGTGTGAACATGTGTGTTGTGTTTAAATATGTGTTGTGAGTATAATTGTGTTGTGTGTATAATTGTGTTGTGTGTATATATGTGTTGTGTTTATATATGTGTTGTGTTTATACATGTGTTGTGTGTATAATTGTGTTGTGTGTATATGTGTGTAGTATGTTTATGTGTGTGTTTTGTGTACATGTGTATTGTGTGCACATAAGTTATGTGTTTATATGTGCATTGTGTGTAAAAGTGTGTTGTGTGTATAGCTCAGTTGTGTGTACAGTTGTGTTGTATATAATGGTGTGTTGTGTACATGCTTATCATGTGTAGGCCTATGTGTTTTGTGTTTACAAAAATTAGTTTTCACAACTATATTGTATGTAACAATAAGATACATTTACCCATGCTTAATTGTTATTATTAAAGTCTTAAAGTTTAATATTTTTTTATTTCGTCACAAAGCTTCTCAAGCCTAAAATAAACTTAATTAATAGAGCGCCACCTGTCTGACCATGCAGATTTTGTTATGCTTCGTGACAAGATCTGCTGTCATATTTCATAACACAGTTTGCATGACAAGCATGACACACTTGTCCATCGTATAACACATTAGCTGGGCACGTTACATACACTTGTCCAACAAGTATGACATCGTGTCTTACAAGCATGACACACTTGCCCAATAAGCATGATACACTTATCACACAAGCATGATACATTTATCATACAAGCATGACACACTTTCCCAACAAGCATGATACACTTATCATACAAGCATGACACACTTGTCCAACAAGCATGACACACTTGTCCAACAAGCATGACACACTTGACCAACAAGCATGACACACTTGTCCAACAAGCATGACACACTTGTCCAATAAGCATGACACACTTGTCCAACAAGCATGACACACTTGTCCAATAAGCATGACACACTTGACCAACAAGCATGCCACACTTGACCAACAAGCATGACACACTTGTCCAACAAGCATGACACACTTGACCAACAAGCATGACACACTTGACCAACAAGCATGACACACTTGTCCAACAAGCATGATACACTTGACCAACAAGCATGGCACACTAGCCCAACAAAAATGACAAACAATGGCACTTAACAAATCCAACCACATGAGGTTGTATCGCTTTTGGTGCTAACCAAACAAACACCTTAACCACGATTCACCCCAGAACCTAATTCAACGAGTTGACCTTTGACCTTTCAGATCACGACCTTGGAGAGACAGTTCGGGTTCAGCTCGAGTCAGACGGGGATCATCGTGTCGGCCAATGATGTGGGGTTCCTGGTCTGTGTTCTGTTCGTTAGCTACTCGGCCAGTCGGGTTCACATCCCTAGAGCTTTAGGTAAGTTAAGGTGTAGGGTTCACATCACTAGAGTTTTAGGTAAGTTATGGTGTAGGGTTCACATCCCCAGAGCTTTAGGTAACTCATGGTGTAGGGTTCACATCACTATAGCTTTAGGTAAGTCATGGTGTAGGGTTCACATCACTAGAGCTTTAGGTAAGTCAAGGTGTAGGGTTCACATTCCTAAGTCATAGTGTAGGGGTCACATCTCTAAGTCATGGTGTAGGGTTCACATCACTAGAGTTTTAGGTAAGTTATGGTGTAGGGTTCACATCCCTATAGCTTTAGGAAAGTCATGGTGTACGGTTCACATCACTATAGCTTTAGGTAAGTCATGGTGTAGGGTTCACATCCCTAGAGCTTTAGGTAAGTTATGGTGTAGGGTTCACATCCCTAGAGCTTTAGGTAAGTTATGGTGTAGGGTTCACATAACTATCATGGTGTAGGGTTCACATCCCTAAGTCATGGTGTAGGGTTCACATCCCTAGAGCTTTAGGTAAGTTATGGCGTAGGGTTCACATCCCTAGAGCTTTAGATAAGTTATGGTGTAGGGTTCACATCCCCTAAGTCATGGTGTAGGGTTCACATCCCTAAGTCATGGTGTAGGGTTCACATCCCTAAGTCATGATGTAGGGTTCACATCCCCCAGAGCTTTAGGTAAGTAATGGTGTACCCAAGAAGTTAGGTCTTCCTCCACGGATGGGAAGGGGGGAGTGAAGTTTGGGACATATATTTTGTTCTGTATAGCTTGGTTGTAGTTTCTTTTTCTAGTTCTGGAAGCTTGGATCTTGTTGATGGGGGATATATGATTTTTTTCCCAATGGGGGCTGGGATCTTTTTCATTGGAGCTTGCATTTTGTCCATTAGGACTTGAATCTAATTTACTCTTAAGGGGGATCGGGTTTTTTCATTGGGGTTGATATCTTGTTCCACATGTCATTGCATCTTGTTTATAAAGGCCTTAAGTCTGTTTTTTCATGGGTGCTCCGATCTTGTTCATTGGGGCATGTGTCTTGTTCTATATGGCTTGGGTCACCCTATATTATTAGGGCTTGAGTTTTGTGCATGTGGGATAATGTCCTGGTCAATAAGGATTGGATTTAGCTCCATTGGGTCTTTTTCGATGTGGGCTTTTGTCTTGTTGAAAAGGGGGTGGGTTTATACCTTCCATTGCGTCTTTTGTCTTAGTCCTTATGTGCTTAAAGTTTGTTTTATTAATTTGTGGTATAGGCTAGTACCATGAGGTCTCATTCGCTACAATATCGGGAATTTCATTGTGATGAAACAACAGTTACTTTACATTTTATTGACAAAATTTTCACCTATTTATAATCCAATCCGTCTCACGACCACTCGACCTTTAACCTTCTCACCAATGTCAAGGCCTCTCCACTGTGATTTTTGGCGTTTCCGGTCTGATATGCGCATTGCCTCACTTCATCTTTGGTGTCCAGCATAAAATCCTGAGACCCGACAACAATGGAACCACCCACAACACGTCAGACTTTGGCGCGCTCTGTTCTGTTAATGTGACGTCAGAGCTCTGCGAAAACGACACCGGTAACGACTTGTTTTTTTCATTCTGTTTTTTTTTTCAATTTTTAATTTTTAAAATATGTTTTGGATCCTTAAAACTTATGTGAATTCATAGTACCATAAAGATAAAAAAAGATGATACTAAAATTCAATCATAATCGTTAAAATGGACAATCAAGATATATCTTGATTAGGTCTATTATACTGAGGCGTAGTAGGAGGCGGGGGGTTCAAATGTCCCTGGGCGTCGACTCAAGGGGGGCGCCAAATTGGGTTTGAAAAAAAATTAAAAGGTCATTTTAGCTGAAGTTTTTCATCATAAATATAACAAAAATATATATGGGGGGGGAGGGGGTGCGCCATATTGAATATCTGTCCCCGGGCGCCGGGAAGGGTCGCTACGCCTCTGGTATTAGAGTTGACCTAGGCGTTTTAATTTTATTATCTGTGGTATCCGTTGAACCTGGACATTACCTGATATGTAAACAATATTGACAATAATCTCATTTTCCCCTCACCCTCCACGTTAACAATTAAATCAAAATAACTACAGCACAGAGAAGGAGTGATCTAGCGGTAGAGAGCTGGACTGCTAACCCGTAGGTATCGAGTTCGAATCCGGGTTCAATTCAGTAGACCGTCCCTGAGCTCACCCAGACTTGATGGGTACCTAACTCTCGTTAGGGAATGTAAAGGCGGCTGGGCATGGTGCTGACCACACAATCCCTCCGTAAGCCAAAGTTTCAGAAACAGGTGAACTCTACGTCAGTTGCCCTATAGACCGTCAGAATACCACACTTCTAGACCAGGGGTCTCCAAACTTTTCAATCCGAGGGCCGCATTAACTATCAAATTTCAGTTCGGGGGCCAGTTTCTTCCAGGCATGTCTTTGGTTTTTCTGGCCAAAGTTCCTCAGCTATCACCAACAAACGATGTTTTCTTGGACAAAATGATCTCCGCGGGCCGGATGAGAGGACTTCGCGGGCCGCATCCGGCCCGCGGGCCGTAGTTTGGAGACCCCTGTTCTAGACGATCGAGTTATACACTTTTCATTCAATGATATGTCAACCAAAAAATTGATGATTTTAGGTACCAATGTCCAATAATCGACTCTTCCATAAAATAGGTGGGTTGGGATGTTAGTAGTATTGTAATCTCAACTAATATTATGGCTAGAAATTAGGGTTAGGCGTATGGTAGGTAGGACCAGGGTTGGGGTTAGGGACAGGGTTAGAATTGACATTAGCCAGCCATGTCGTGTATTTATTTACCAGCAATCTAACACCCCTTTTTTTAAAGAAGATTCCATTATCGGACACCGGTATAAAATTTCTCCCCCCATCCCCCCCCCCCCCAAAAAAAAAATGACATAATACAACTAACTATGAAGAAACACCACCAGCAAACTATAAAGAAATAAATTTTCCATTTTGTTAATTGAAGATTCCAGGTCTTCCATTTCAAGTCACGTGGCTCCCGTATCGCTGGTGATTATCGTGATTGGTATGGCGATGCAAGGGATTGGCAAGTCGCCGCGGTCATCTCTCACGGTCAAGTACATAGACGACAATGGGAAGCGTTCAAACACTGGACTCAATATAGGTAATCTGCGAACTATGTTTTGTGTAGTCTGGGTAATCTGCGAACTACGCTTTGAGTAGTCTTCGTAGGTAATCTGTGGTATTTTCATTGTAAAGTTTACATAGGTAATCTGCGAACTATACATTATGTAATCTTCGTAGGTAATCTGTGATATCTGATAATCCTATACATAGGTAATCTGCAATCTCATCACTGTTTATGCTTGATAAGTAATCTGCGAATTTTGCATATCTACGCAACATAGATTTTTACGCAAATTCTACTCTTTCTACGAGAAAAATGGCCCGTTGAGGAAGGATACACCGGGCGCTAGGTTGATAGTGCTGTCTCTTTTCTCTAAACTAAAACCAACCCCCCCCCCCACACCACCCCCACCCCCCAAAACACACCACCCCCCCCACCCCCAACCCCCCACCCCCACCCCCCAAAAAACATGTCTACCGTCCCATTCAACGAAATATAATTATATACTTTTTCCAGTGTCCGACCCCTCCCAGAAAATTCTACACCCGCCCCCGAAAATTTCAAGTACCCCCACCCCTCTACGGGGAGGAAAAAGTCTAAATTAAACCCCCCCCCCCCCACTCACCCCAGCCCCCCCCCCCCCCCACACACACCACCCCCCCCCCCCTAAAAAAACATGTCTACCGTCCCATTCAACGAAATATAATTATATACTGTTTCCAGTGTCCGCCCCCTCCCCGAAAATTCTACACCCGCCCCCGAAAATTTCAAGTACCCCCACCCCTCTCCGGGGAGGAAAAAGTCTAAATTAAAACCACCCCCCACTCACGCATGGGGTGGGGCTTAGCCCTTACCCGAAGAATTGTATGCAAGAAACTCTTCACGCAAACCATTTAGATTAGACAACATTTCCTTTTTATTCAATGTTTACGCGATAATCAATGACGTCATTATATTACTGTGTGCACTTCCGCCTTGAGATTATTTTCAACTCTATGCTAAATGTGTCGACGTTATACTTCGTTTTTCGAAATACTATGCATGTTTTTAATTTCCTTATGTTTTCTCTAGAGCGTTCTTGTCAGATACATAGATACACAGACAGCGAAACTATTAGTATTAATTTTTGCTAAAAAATTAGTAATCTGAGCATTAGGTAGTCTATCTAGATAATTTTCTCCTCAATACACTATTTCTAAAAGTCCTTAAACTATCTGACGTATTCATACCAGACACACCAGACACTAAACATGACATAGACTTGACACATATAGTTTACAATCTGCATATCATACACCAGTGGCGGAACTATAAAAAAGGGCCACCCCGCAAAAAAAAGTTTTTGGACCCCCTTCATATATATATATATATATATATATATATATATATATATATATATATATATATATATATATATATATATATAAATATATACATAATCAAAGAATATAAACATAGAATACTCATTTTTGTCCTGAACGGGTTTTTGAAAAAAAATGTCTGTACAACAACATCTCATGTGTGTGAGTGCGTTAGTCTGTTTTGAAAATCTGTTTTATTTTATGTCTGCCGCAATACTTCATAACTTAGAGACGGTCAAAAGAATATGAAATATCAAAGCTTTGTATTTGTAATGGCTTCTCATGTTATGTTTATTTTTATGTCTTTTTGTATTTATATTATTTATTTTAAATATTTTTCCATTTTATACTATGCCATTCTTTAGTATTTATTTTTTTTAAATAATTAAGAGAAGTAATTGCTTTAATTGTTTAGTAGAACTCTATTAAAAGGAGCATATGAGTACCCCTATTAGACTATTTTAAAAAGGGAAATAAGTCATGGAAGTTGTTTAAGCGTTTGACTATTTTTCACAATGGTTTAAAAACAAAGGGAAAAAGAATAATTATACAAGAGCATGGGATGGTGTCTATAGAATAAAGATAATCCAACCGCAGCTACAGTATTCTTTTAACAAAATAACGATCAAGTAAAAAATGAAAGAAAATTAAGTTTGTTAACTAAAAAAAAGTTGATTATGGTCGGCTGTGGGCCCCTAAACGGCGTGGGCCCTCCCGCATTGCGGGGTCTGGCGGCACTGTAGTTCCGCCCCTGTCATACACGTACAAAGGAAACGCCTTAAACTTATTACATAAGCAATCCGCAGCATAACATACCTCTTATAGCTTATACATCATACGCCTTAGACTTAGCTAATCACACATAAAATACAGCAAACTTATTCGCTAACTCTCACTGCAACATCATCAAACAACATACTGCTCACAACCCACGTGTAACATATACCACATACATACACACCATAACATATCATACGAATACCTTCACCTTATACAGTTTGATGTAGAATGTAACATCCTTATTTACTCTCAATGGTAAATATATAAGCAGAGGCAGAAATAAATGCCTTGCGTGGGGGGGGGGGGGGCGTAGCCCACATTTTCTCATTAATAACAGGCTAGTCCAAAGAAACGAACAGCTTTTTTACTTTAGTTTTTCCTTCTTTTGCGCTCAATGAAATTTCCAATCATAGGCGGATCTAGGGGAGGTGTACGAGGGTGCTCAATCCAATATCACTATTCTAGAGGCGGCTATGATGTATCATCGAGGTAGCTAGCCTTTAAGACCCAAAGAAAACTATTTTTCCACACTTTAACCTTGTATTAACGTCCACGATACACAACTGATTAAGAATTATTTCTTCACACTACAGGCGTCATCATCACGACCTCCATCGTGGGCCCGGCCTTGGCCTTTATTCTAGGCGGGACCTTTACCCGGATGTACGTCACTCTGCAAGGTAGAATATCTACATTTTTATAGATTTTTATCAATTAGTTATACCTTTATTCCTCAACATTACTGAAAATTGAATTATAACAAATTTAGTATAAATAAAGTTTGTTGTTATTTTATTTAAAAAAAATATCACTTTATTCAAAACGCCTAGAAACGACATTGACACCAAAACACCCAAAATGGATCGGAGCCTGGTGGTTGGGTTACGTCATATTTGGAACTCTCTCCCTGCTCATCGCCCTGCCATTGTTCTTCTACCCCAGGCGGTTGCAGAAGAGAGAGGTGCCCCGAAAACCAGAGGGCAAGGTTCAAATCTCGGTCATATGTTCTGAGAAAAGGTAACGAAGTAACTCGACACCACTTTAATACCATCACTCTTAACACATTTACATTTTTTATAGCTAAAAAATTATAAGTTCATAAAAAGATAAAAAATTCACCACACTTACCACAATAAAGTTTCTTGTTAGCTAAAAGTTTCTTGTTAGTCCAAAAAAAATTAAGCATATACCCATGCCAAAAACAGTTTATACCATCGGATACTAAACTCTTTTTGTGGCTTTTTTTTTTCAAGTTTAACTATAAAATATTAAGGCGAAACAAACTTTCATGGAAAAATAAAACAGAATTAAAAGACAATTTATTAAACGAGACTACAAACATAATTGCGGTTACTAAACAAAATCAAACATAATCAACTTAGCGGGACATTATCTACCTCAAACTTTCTTATGCTAATCACAAGAAGTTATTTCAATCTTCAAATTATAGCAATGGTTGTGATTAAATAAATTTTCACAAAGACGTCTCATATAAATTGTTGTCCCCTCCCCCTCCCCCCCCCCCCCCCCCCCACACACACATCAGTAAGGACCTACCGGAGAAGAAATCGGATTTCAGCCCAGACGATCAGCGAGAAAAGAAACACCCACACACAACTGGGGAGGGTGACCCTGTCAAAATTAAAGCGGTTGCTCACCTCTTTAAAGGTAAGTTTTCCTCCAAATTATCCAATGACTGCTTGACCAGTGTATCAGTATGTACCGCAAGGTAGAGTGTCATTCCTTCCGTCATTTACTGGTCAGTCTAGGCTCTTGGCTTGGTTGAACATTTCATATGAGAATCTCGGCGGATTTAAACCGAAGTACATCAAAAATTTAAAACTGTGTGTGAATATTACTTCCTGTAAGAAAATATTTTATCGAATGTCATGCAGCATAGCAACGACCTTTTTATCCAACAGCAAATTGTATGCTCACTGATACGCTTAGAACGGACACAAACGGTTAACAAAGTCCACTAGTCCAAAGAAAAAAAAGACAACAAAAGACATGACGAAAGCTCAGCTTATTCATGAAGAAATACGTGGACTGCGTCCAAATCGGCCCGGAACATTTTAAAAAGGGCCGACAACCCTAGATTAAAAATTATTATTGTGCAATTTTTCCCCATCAAGGTCTGACACTTACCCTCGGCTGGAACGAAATTCAAGCGACAAATAAAAAAAAATCTAAGCACTAATAGGTCTAGTACAGCACCGTGCCTAGGGGTCCATCGGGAATTTTGTCCAGTACACCGGCGGGTTAGTCCACCCCTGGATATTTCCACTATTTGAAATAAAATATTATAATGATCAATTGACACTTCTGATACAGCATAATAATATACTGACACTATTTTCGTCAACACTTCACACAACTTTCTGATCCGGGTAAACTATAAAAGGGCGATGACTCTAACCAAAGTAGAGGGGACACAACCGCTGCGGTCTTCTCGCTTCACTGATGTTCAGAGGCGTAGCGACCCCTCTCGGCGCCCGGGGAAAACTTTCAATTAGGCTCCTCTCTATATATTTTTTATATTTATAATTTAAAACTGCAGGAAAATGCGCTTTTAATTTTTTTCCCAACCCATTTTGGCGCCCCTAGGGTCAACGCCCGGGGATATTTTTACCATCCCCCCGCTCCCCCGTCGCTACGCCTCTGCTAATGTTACATCTACATCTGATTTACCTTACCATTCCAGATTTTCTCAAGTCCCTACTCCGACTGTGGACCAACCCCGTCTATGTGTGCATCACGGGGTCGGCCTGCTGCATGATATTCAGCATCAGTGGGTCGTCGACCTTCACCCCCAAGTACCTGGAGAATATGTTCAACCTCCCGGCGTTCAAGACTAATTATATTTTAGGTGGGTCTGTGATCTCATTAGGAGAGGGGCCTGGGCAGGTATCTGTTTACTTCAGGGGGAGGGGGGGGGTGTGAGAACGTGTCTGTGTTCAACTCAGGGAGGCGGGAGTCAGGTCTTTACTCATCTGAAAGCGGCGTGTTTAAGTCACTGCTCAGTTGATGGGGGGGGGGGGGCGTGGTCAGGTCTTTGCTCATTTAAAGGGGCGTATTTAGGTTTCTGCTCAGTTGATGGGAGGGGGGGGGGCGTGGTCAGGTCTTTGCTCATTTAAAAGGAGTATGTTTAGGTGTCTGGTCAGTTGATGGGGGCGTGGTCAGGTCTCTGCTTATCTGAAAGGGGCAAGTGCAAGTCTTTGCTCATCTGAGAGGGCGTGGCCAGACCTCACCTCACATGAGGATGAGTGGTTAAGTCTCTGTTCATCTTCAGGTTCGGGGTCAGATCTCTGTTTACCTGAGGGGGCGTGTTCATGTCTCTGCTCAACTAAGGGGGGCGTGTTCAGGTCCTGACCTAAAGTTAATCCTATACTTATCTGCTAAAGACCAGAAAGCAACCTTATAATTAGCTAATGGGGAAAGGATAATTTCCTGATATTAAATAACTTTATCCTGAGAAAGACCTTATAATGACCTGGTGACCTTTACAGGAGGTCAGACATTTGTGGCGGCTTGCTCGGGCGTCCTGCTGGGCGGGTACATGTCCAAGAGGCTCAGGATGACGGCGGTCACGGCACTGAGGTTCAGTCTGGTTGTCATGACAACGGCAGTGGCGGCGGTCTTGACTGGGTTCTTCCTGCAGTGCAAGCAACCGACCGTCCACAACTGGCCGAGGTTTGTACATACAGCTTGCAGCATGTTCGTACCTATAACTTGTAACACGCTCATACATATAGCTTGTAAGACACTCGTACATATAGCTGGCCTATGTTCGTACACATAGCGTGTAACACACTCCTAGAAGAGTGGCTGTCCCCATCTGCCCGAGGGTTCGAACTCGAGACTTTTCGGTTTAGCAACCATGAGCTTTACCGACTCTACCACGCCGACCCCTCCCAATTGATCTAATGTGAGTTCCGGTGTAAATAAATTTCTCCCCCTCCCTCCTCTTCCAGTGAGAACGTGACGTGTAACGGCGACTGCCTGTGTGACGACGACAGCTACTTTGCCGTGTGCGGCGATGACGGCAAGACTTACTACTCACCGTGCACGGCAGGATGCACGAACCAGCACAAAGGGGTGAGTAGAAAACTTGAGAGAGATTGACAACAAACTTTAACATGTACAGCCACTGCTTTTAGATCTTAGTGGTTTTAATTTGAGTTCACTTGCAAAACCTTCTAAGTCTCTTGTGCTTAATATTGAGGAAATTTACTTTTAAATATATTTTTGTGTGGTTAACTATCCTTAAGATTTTCAATATTTTACTAATACCTTTTAGAAAAAAAAAATAGTTTACTACTTTAATTGCCCCTTAATTGAGAAGGATATAAATGTTACTAATATTTTTCAAAGAGTGAACTTTGGATGTTTTGCAATTGGCCTCCTTATTTTGAAAAAAAATATTTTTAAGTAGGTGTACACGATGTTCACAAATAAGTAAAAATCATAAACATTACTTTGATACTGTTCACAAAAACATGCGCAATCGAAAAACTGCGCAACGGAAAACTGCGCAAATAGAAAAACTGCGCAAATACAAACTAATAATTCTAATACACTTTAAGTTTGTCATATTTTGAGGAAATATGTTTTGTTAAGCTAAAATATTAATCACGAGCCGACCCGCGGTTTATCATATGCCGCTATTTAGTTGTTTTATTTTCTACTTTTCAGTAATTCATAATTTGTGAATTCGACAGTACCAATGCTGCCACTGAAAATATTTGCATTAAAATACTATCAGTAGATCATTAAGGACGATACCCCCCAGCCTCCTTTCCCCCAACCCCTACCCTACTCCCCCCCCCATGAAAGCAGCCTCCTCTTAGTTACCTCCCCTAAGTTTAAAATCGTTTCAAACTTCATTATCTGCCCCTAATAGCCGTCACTAAATCCGGCTCTACGATTGTAAACATTTAGCGTGAACCACAGCTCACCAGAATTCCTAGAGAGGAAGAAAGGGGACTGCAAGGCGCGTTTACAGCTTGGTGTTTTATATATATATATATATATATATATATATATATATATATATATATATATATATATATTCTTTGTTAGTGTCTATAAATGATCGATTTAGGAAAGAAAACAACCCTTGCGCATCTTTTGTGTGCAGTTTTCCGTTTCTCAGTTGCCCGTTGCACATTTTGCGAAACCTTTTATACATGTATTCCTTTTATGTGATTTAAATTTAAATCTTATATATAAAGTTCCATTCTGTATGTTTGTATGTAACCGTGGATTAATGTGGAGTGCTTAATGTTAAATTTAAACAGATATTTCAATTTTGTGGAATATAATACCAAGTTTGAAAGATCAATTAATTTGTCGAAACGTTCTCTGCTTATTAAATTAGTTGCCTAATAAGATAACAGTTGTCAAGTTACTAAAGACTAACTCAAATGTTAAATAAAACAAATGATAACTAACAAATATTTATACAATTTATAAAGCAATTTTTATTTTGTAATGTAAAATTATTAACAACTATGCTAAGATAATGTGTATTTGATTGTATTATATTTTTAATCGCTATTGTACAAATATATAAGTTGTTTCCCTTGGTAAGTTAGATTATTTAAATGGGAAGAAACCAGAATCATTTAATCAAAACTGAAGAAAAAAAATTGTTTCAGCAAAGTAATTCGTCCACAGTTTAAGCAATGTGTTGGTACCACAAGTTCTACAGATACTATCATAGCAAAGATGGTCCGTAGATTGGACATCCTGTACAGTGGGCCAGGGATTCTATTTGAATCACTACCCCTATTAACAGCTAAACATTAAATACAATAAACCGGGAGTGATCTCCCCTCAACTTTCTCGAATATTCTTATATAAAACAACAGGGGATGGGAACTCGGGATATAGTTATGATTTTTAATCCATTTTAAATACTTAAACTTTTTAAAATAGAATAGAATCTCATAGAAAAAAAAATGCGCACCAAGCTAACGCCGAATAAAGATGTGTATAATAGTGCAGAATATTATTAGTACTTTATACATTCACATGCGTTTTTTGAAAAATCGGAAATAGTGAAAATTACTACTTCCGGTCAACGGAAATTACTCAAAATTTGACAGAAGGCAGAAAATTAGATATTCTACTTACATATCAAATTTCATTTATCTATTTGAAATAGTATTGAAGTTATAGGCTTTTGAAAAATTCAAAGTAGAAAAAGTACCACTTCCCGTTATCGGAAATCGCTCAAAAGTTGATACGGATCTACGATTTTGATATATTACTTATTTTTGAAATTTCATCAACCTAGCTGTAACGGTACTCAAGTTATCGTGTTTACACACACACACACACACAGACACACACACATAGCCTACACACACACAGACATACGGACAAGATTGCAAAACTATGTTTTTCCGACTCAGGGAGATGTAAAACGTCGAGATTTGCAAAAATCTCGATTTTTTTTTTGCACGATTACAATACTTTCTCTATACTTCGTATATACGAGAAAGTAAAAAAGCTGATAGTACCAAATTAATTGTGTACGAAACCTGTATATGACCTGTACATTATGGCCATCCAATATTTCACATACAAAAAATCTGGTACTTCTGTTTTCAACAACAGAGCTATACAGTATCGTAACTAGGTTTTAATAAAATGATGTTTTTGCCTATTTGGTAGTTTATACAAAGGCATCTTTTACCTGTATCTCTGGCAGGTGTTCTGGAACTGCTCCTGTATTCCAGGTGGTAGTGCCAACACAGGCACCTGTGATTACGGCTGTGGAGAGTTGTACATCTACATTCTGTTTATCGGCATCAGAAGCTTGTTCGCGACAATGGCCATAGTGCCAAAGATTATAGTGACTATCAGGTACAGTACATGGTCACAGTGCCAACAATCATAGTGACTATTAGGTACAGTACATGGCCATAGCTTCAGGTACAGTATATGGTCAATAGTGGCAAAAATGCAGTTACTATCAGGTACAGTATATGGCCATTATGCCAAAGATTATAGTGACTATCAGGTACAATAAATGGTCATAGTCCCTAAAATCATAGTGACTATCAGGTACAGTATATGGCCATAGCTTCAGGTACAGTATATGGTCAATAGTGGCAAAAATGCAGTTACTATCAGGTACAGTATATGGCCATTATGCCAAAAATTATTATGACCATTAGGTACAATAAATGGTCATAGTGCCAAACATTATAGTGATAATCAGGTACAGTACATGTCCATAGTGCCAAAAATCATAATCACCTTCAGGTACAGTATACGCCATGTCTGCAGGTACAATACATGGTCATAGTGTTAACCATCAGTGCCAGAAATTTTAGTGACTATCAGGTACAGTACATGTCCATAGTGCAAACAATTATAATGACCATTAATTACAGTATATGGCCATTATGCCAAAATATATAATGACCATTAGGTACAGTACATGGTCAAAGTGCCAAAAATGATAATGACTATTAGGTACAGTACATGGTCATGTCTTCAGGTACAGTACATAGCCATAGTGCCAACTATCAGTACATAGCCATAGTGCCAGAAATTGTAGTGACCATCAATTTCAGTACATGGCCATAATATAGTACATTATACCTAAAGGGCCAAACATTTAATTAAAAATTAATTCTGTTTTATTCCCAATGGCTTATTTGACACCAGGTGTGTGAAAGATGAAGATAAAGCCATCGCCGTGGGGTTCGAATCCTTCGTGACGTCACTAATAGGTAGGTGCCCACACCACTTTTAAGCCTTAGCTGTAGTTAAATGTACATGTTTGAGTCTAACTCTCAAGGTGCCTGACTTTATCAGGTAAATCAAAGACGGCAACACATATTGCTGACAAAACAAACAGGTGAATTTACTACCACTGCCATACCTCACCTGACCGATAGATCGGAAAAGGGAATATGACTTTTTCAAGGTTAAGTTGATATAAATAAGTTTAGGGGTGTATCAATGAGGTGGTGGCCCATAATGGCCAAATTATTTATAGAGGAGTAATGATTCAGCTCTAATTAGTACCTCGTTAGATGATGACTTCACTTCACTTAGTCTTTTGTTTAGTGATCTTTAATAGATTCATTCTTTGGGTTAATACTTGCTATAACAATTTCTTTGGTTAGAACGGTAATATATACGTCATAAAGTATACTAATATTTTTAGTTATAATGCGTACCCAACAAAGATTGTTTTAAAATTAAAACAATATGTGTGGTTACTGTAACAGTTCATTTAATTACCTCTGTCACTCCTAATATTTAAAATTTTATAATTGTTCAAGATGATTTACAATTAAAAACCACATTTATTTACCTTTATACAGTTGTTTTCTAATGTTTCCAATTTGATACCAATTTTAATTACCAAAATTAACCGGTAGTCTATAAAATTATTTTGAAAAAAAAATAAACGACGGAAAAGTGTAGATCAAGCGACATCCTTAATTATTTAGCTATAATTAATGCCACTTAACCCCTCACTCATAAGTCACTTAGGTTTACCGTATCTAAAAGTGCTTTCACCAAGCGCATATGTATATGTGTATGTCTTGGTATTTTTCGCTTAACACAAGTGTCAAATGTCTGTATACATAGGCTGGCTACTTGGACCCATTGTCCTCGGCTACGTCATTGACGGAGTCTGCACTATCTGGGACATCCAGTGCGGGGTCAAAGGTCGCTGTCTGCTGTACGACCACCGCCTGCTTCAGCTGAGGTTCCACGCCTTCACCTCTATCCCCATGGCCCTCTCCGTGCTGTTCCTGTTGGTGGCCTACATACACTGTAGGCGGACTGGATTCTTGGGGGACAAAAATACAGCGACACCGGACAAAATCGGAAAGTTTTCTGAGACGGCGTTTGACCGGGAAGAGATTATTCTCACGTCTGCGAAGTCGATTGAAAGTTTCAAGGACAACGAGAAAATTATTTTAGAGTCAAAATCAAAAGGTGATAAGTTATAGCTTGATTCTCAAATTTAAAAATGAAACTTTTTATTTTTATCTGACATTGTAAAAAAAAAAATATTTTATTGAAAATATTTTGTTTTTTTAATGACGTAATTATTCTAAGAAATTCATTGTTATTGGAATGCTAAATGACATATATATTATTATTATAATTAAGGTCATGTTGATCTACTTATTTGTGGCATTATGAGATTTAAATAAACCGGTAGTGATCTCCCCTAAACTTTCTCGAATATTCTTATATAAAACAACAGGGGATGGTAACTGGGGATATAGTTATGATTTTTAATCCATTTTAAATACTTAAACTTTTAAAAATAGAATAGAATCTCATAAAAAAAACATTGCGCACCAAGCAAACGCCGAATAAAATCGCGTATAATAGTGCGCAATATTATTAGTACTTTAAAAATTTACATTAGTTTTTTGAGAAATCGGAAGTAGCGTAAATTACTACTTCCAGTCAACGGAAATTACTCAAAATTTAACAGAAGGTAGAGAATTAGATCTTTTACTTACATGTGAAATTTCATTTATCTATCTGAAATAGTACTCAAGTTATAGGCTTTTAAAAAATTCAAAGTAGGAAAAGTACCACTTCCGGTTATCGGAAATCGCTCAAAAGTTGATACGGATCTACGATTTTGATAAAATACTTATATATGAAATTTCATCAACCTAGCTGTAACGGTACTCAAGTTATCGTGTTTACACACGGACAGACACACAGACACACACACACACAGACATACGGACAAGATTGCAAAATTATGTTTTTCCGTATCAGTGAGGTGTAAAACGTCGAGATTTGTAAAAATCTCGATTTTTTTTTTTTTGCACGATTACAATACTTTCTCTATACTACGTATATACGAGAAAGTAAAAAAGCATTGTATAATGCTGTAAATTTCTTCTCTTTAAAACAAACATATAATGCTGTACATTTCTACTCTTTGTAACTATTTGTAGATTAGTAAAATGACATATATCTGATTATGTTTGTATGTAGACCACATAAGAATGTGGTAAACTCACTCTATGGAGGCATTACAATATAAAACATGCATATTTGTACATGTAAAATTGGAAAAATAAACAAAGTGTATAACCCATTTTGAAATTTTTGATTTTTTAAATTTACTTTATAACAAAATATAAAATAATTAATTAAAAAGTAAAGCTCCCCTTTCAGATCTATCCATAGAGTAGATGAAGAAGAGTTTATATGTGTCTTGACCTCGGCATATTAAATGCTGCAAGGCCGCTTTTGCATTCCCCAACTCGTGTCAGGTACCCATCAAAGCTGAGTAGACTCAGGGATGTTCTGCAGTACCTAATCCGGACGAAAATAATTAGATGCTTGTGATTACCTCTTAAAGATCAATTTGTTTATTACATTCTATACTGAGTAAGTGTTGTATGTGTTTCGTGACATAAGTGTTCCATGACAAAATGATCTCAGGACATATAAAATCAGACAAAATATCGCACGGACAAATGAAATCTGAACAAAAATGATCTCAGGGACACATTATCTCACGGGCAAAAGATATCAGGACAAAATATATCAGGACAAATGAAACCATCGAAAAATGATCTCAGACAAAATATTTGAAGAAATATAATCTGTTAAATATCTTCGACCCCAGAAAGGACCAAATCCTGCATATCCACTAGTAGCTACACACTCAACTATTATTTGAGAACACTGTGCGCACCTTAAAAGAAAATTCCAAACTAAATAGGTTCTAAAATAAACGCGTTTGATAACTTCCGGTTTTTATGTCAACAAGACTTCAAGTAGGAAACAAAGGCTCGGAGTTTGTCATTTTAAACCTTACCCTAGCTAGTGGATAACAACGGAGGGTAATGAACAAGATTTCGGCGTTATCTATGGACTTGTGGTGAGCAAGACAATTACACCCGACAAACGTTTCTGGTTTGGTTTGTATTCATTATCAGTAAAGGTCCCCTTCAAACCTGACCGTCTAAGATACGGAGCAAGTGAAGTAGAGTTCACTTGTTTCTGTGACCTCGGCATTTGAAGGAATATTGTGGTCAGCACTATGCCCAGCCGCCTTTAGTTACCCTAACGTGAGTTGGGTAGGCCTAGCCCTCAGAATTGGGTGGACTCAAGGACGGTGTACTGACTTGAACCGGGACCCGAATTCGAGACTTACGGGTTAGCAGTCCAGCTCTCTACCGCTAGGCCACTCCGTCCCATTATTCATTAGCATAAATGCAATCAAATACTTAAGAAATGAAATAAATTAGGGCTTATATAACAGCCAGTGATTTGTGTTTTTATTTAAGATCTGCGTCTCGTTTAGCTAATCCTGCTCTAGCTCTGACCCTAACTATAACAGAAATCCGACCCTAACCTTGACCAAAAGCATCACACAAGTACCACCATAACCCTGACACTAACTATAACAAACCCTGACCCTAGCAATAACACAAGTTCAACCCTAACCTTGAACATAAGCATCACACAAGTACCACCATAACCCTGATACTAACTATAACAAACCATGACCCTAATTATAACACAAGTACTATCCTAACCATGACACAAGTATGACCATGACTTTATCAACAGCAGTATACAAACATCAATACCACATTACATTGTCCTGTTATACGGATAAATAAAATCACAATTTTGTGAAGACAGTGTTAAATTACCACACTTTGTTAAATTATGAAAGTATATTAAAAAAAAACAATGTAGAGTAAACTTTGTAATTAATTAAATTGGTTATTCTTAATGAGGGTCACTACATAAATGAAGCTGTGTAATTTTTGACTATTCCTGATCTACATCATCGTATTTTTTAAAATAAAAGGCAACTTTGACCCCACCCCCAATACGAAAGAGTAAAACGTCATTTTTAAATGCACAAGTGTGCCATTCTACTTTCTAAAACCTAAACCCAAAGTGTGTGACGTCATTTATTTATGTCATAAAGCCCCTTCTTCATTACTGACAGAATACTCATTCAAAACAAAAAATGAAACCCTGACGCCCATATTTAAATTTTTTAAATTTTTTTTGCACAGAAACCCCAACCTCATTTTAACTCAAACATCGTAAAATCAAATAGTTAGAAGTCTTCATGCAATTAGAGGATAATTAATTACCCCGTGAGAATTATCATAATGGATACGACAGGCCATAACCCGGAAGTGACAGATGACACAGGAAGAGGCACCACCGCGGATAAAAACAAAAACATCTACAGAAGGATTTGGTGGTTCAGTTTGTTGTATAACTTGACGAATATGGTGACATCCGTCATGACAACTTATATTCGATCACAGGTGGGTGTGTGTGTGTGTGAGTGTGTGAGTCATTGTATCAGATACACTCTACTTCATCTTTATCGTAGGGGTCGTCCATAAATGACGTAAAGGGGAGGGGGGGGTCCGTAATTTTGTGACGGTGTGTGATGAGGGGACGGGGGTTTCAGATGGTATGACGTCACACTTTTGCATTATAAAAAGGCAATGTTAGAAAACGAATTTTAGCCGTTATTTCGCGTTTTAGAAAACTGTTTTAATAAATTGTAATAGGAATTGATTAAAATACTCTATGTTGACAGAGTTCAGATAAGATTTTGGAAAAAATATTAATGTTTTAAGAAAAAATTAAACTGCAACTTTGAGGGGGGTTGTAGGCTGAGGAGTGACTTCATTTTAAGGGGGGGGGGGGGTGTCTGGCTGTTTGTGACAATGTGTGACGGAGGGGAAAGGGGAGGTAAAAATAGTAAATAAAAAGCGTGACGTCATTTATGGATGACCCCATTTGTCATGAGAGCAAGAAATGATGACTTTAAACTGCGCGCCCAAGTCCTCCGCTACAGTTATGATATTTGTAACAGATCACCACTCTAGAGAAACAGTTCGGGTTCAACTCCAAACAGCTGGGGCTCATCGTATCTTCCACGGAGTTGGGGTTCCTGCTCTACGCCACCTGTGTTTGCTGTTCAAGCTGCAAAGTTCACATCCCTAGAATCTTAGGTGAGTGGGCTAGTTACTCGGCCAGCTAGGTTCACACCCTTAAGATCTTAGGTGAGTGGGCTAGTTACTCGACCAGCTAGGTTCACACCCTTAGGATCTTAGGTGAGTGGGCTAGTTACTCGACCAGCTAGGTTCACACCCTTAGGATCTTAGGTGAATGGGCTAGTTACTCGACCAGCTAGGTTCACACCCCTAGACCAGTAAGGTTCACATCCCTAGGATCTTAGATGAGTGGGCTAGTTACTCGGCCAGCTAGACTCACATCCCTAGAATCTTAGGTGAGTGGTCTAGTTACTTGGCCAGTAAGGTTCATATCCTTAGAATCTTAGGTGAGTGGGCTAGTTACTCGACCAACTAGGTTCACACCCTTAGGATCTTAGTTGAGTGGGCTAGTTACTCGACCAGCTAGGTTCACACCCTTAGGATCTTAGGTGAGTGGGCTAGTTACTCGGCCAGCTATGTTCACACCCCTAGACCAGTAAGGTTCACATCGCTAGAATCTTAGGTAAGTGGGCTAGTTACTCGACCAGGTAAGGTTCACATCCCTAGGATCATAGAAGAGTGGGCTAGTTACTCAACCAGCAAGACTCACAACAATAGTCCAGTGTGTTAGTTACTCAGCTAGTAACGTTCACACCCCGTATAACTACAGGTGAGTGTTTTACCTTCTCGACCAGGTCAGTTCGCAAATTTAGAAGAACTTTCTTACTTCACGGACAGTTGGGTTCACATTGCTAGAACCACCCTAGGTCAGGGTTCGGCAACCTGCGGCTCGCGAGCCGTATGTGGCTCCTTTGATGTCAAGATGCGGCTCTCCAGCTCCTTGCACAAATACTAATAATCTTAATCAAAAAATAAAATACTAGAATTAAAAAAATGTTAGTGGCTCTTTAAAACCAGGGAAAATTTGAAAATTGTAACTTTTGGCTCTTCCGCTTCGAAAGGTTGCCGACCCCTACCCTAAGGTTAGTGTCCTAGTAGTAAGGTTTCCCACAAAAACCCAATGTGTAAGTCTTGGTGACTCGAATGGCGCTTTCAAAAACGCAAAGTGGACGTGCCTGTTCCAAGTATTGAGATCGTCCTTTAGAAGCATCTTTCTTTTTTGTTCTAAACTATTCCAACTTCAATGCAGTCTTTTTTCATTGAAACGAAAAAAAAATATAATAAAAATTTAGGCCTTTAAAAGAAAAACAATAACAAATAATACAAATATCTTTTTTGTTATACAACAGCTATTCATTACTGGCTCAACCTTAATTAATCAACATTTTAACCTTGTTTTCAATGTCAAGGTCTTTCCACTGTGCTATTCGGCCTTTCCTGTCTGTTCTGCTCCGTGCCCCACTTCCTATACGGCGCCAAGAACAACATTCTGGGATCAGAAACCAACGAAACAAACCAGATAGGTGCCGTCTGCTCTGATCAGGTGCCGGCACCGTCCTGCAAGTCTGGCGCTGGTGGGTCATTCGAGAATTTGTTTCTTACCTTTTTATTGTTTTACAATTTTGGGAATCTCAGTTAAAGTTAGGATACGAAGAAGCCTTGATGACAAGGGAGTCCAAGTACATCTGTACATATAGAAGCTTTTAAAGAATGACGTGTGTATATATATATATATGGAGACTCGAACGTCCCTGAGTCCACCCAGCTGTGATGGATACCTACCCATGGTAGGTAGGCTAAGGCGGCTAGGCATAGTGCTGACCGTAGCATCCTCTTGTATGCCGAGGTCATTGAAACATTAACTCCGCTCATTACGTGTTGCACACAAAGGGGAAAAGATACTGATAAATTTGGACATTATGGTCTATATCCCAATGTTTGTTAGTTGGAATTTTATTAATAGTGTTCGTTGAAAAGGCGCAGGTTGTTCTATTTGAAAAAAAAAATAAACTTGTATGTTTTGTCAATCTGAAAAAGAAAGAAATCGAGTTATGAAATAAGATACTATAAATACTAATAACATATTTGAACAATGCTTGTAGGAATTTAGTGCTCTTTGTGATGTATGCTATTACATTTTTTCCCGGGGTCAACTGAAATTAAAAAAATTGAAATTATTTTGTGAAGCGTTATGTAACAATACTGAAAAGTTATTTGGACTTACACAATAAACTAAGCAATTAATTTAGAAACATAAACACACAATTTCATTATAAATATTTGTTTTACCAAGTTAGCTGATATAAATTTATATTTTTATTTTTATTTAATTTAAAAATAACGAGTCCTTTATTGAAAAGAATACTCTATTAAAATTCCGTTCCCCTTCAGGTACCAAATCTTCACTAGCTGATGACGTGACTCTCGTATCTCTGGGAATTCTCGTCCTGGGGAAGGTCGTGCAGGGATTGGTTCAGTCCCCACGGTCGGTGCTGTTCTGTAACTACGTGACGGGGATGCAGGAACGCGAGTTACTCATTGTAGCCTTTGGTAATCTTTATACGTCACTTAGTGTATTCCCTGCATTATAGCATATCTGCCAAAATTATAGTACACACCTTACCATCACACAACACAAACACACCTCTACACCTCAGAGCACACACACAACACACACATCTCACCACCTCATGGCACACACACCTCCCAACCTCATAGTACACACACCTTACCATCACACAACACACACATCTCACCACCTCAGAGTACACACACCTCCCCACCTCACAGTACACCCATCTCCCCACCTCACAGTACACACACCTCCCACCTCACAGTACACACACCTCCCCACCTCACAGTACACACACCTACCCACCTCATAGTACACACACCATATTATCACACAACATACACACCTCTACACCTCAGAGCACACACACCTCCCCATCACATAACACACACATCTCCCCACCTCACAGTATACACACCTCCCCACCTCACAGTACACCCATCTCCCCACCTCACAGTACACCCACCTCCCCACCTCCCACCTCACAGTACACACACCTCCCCACCTCACAGTACACCCACCTCCCCACCTCCCCACCTCACAGTACACACACCTCCCCACCTCACAGTACACACACCTCCCCACCTCACACAGACCTCCCCACCTCACAGTACACACACCTCCCCACCTCACACACACCTCCCCACCTCACAGTACACACACCTCCCCACCTCACAGTACACACACGTCCCCACCTCACACACACCTCCCCACCTCACAGTACACACACCTCCCCACCTCACAGTACACACCTCCCCACCTCACAGTACACACACCTCCCCACCTCACAGTACACACACCTCCCCACCTCACAGTAAACACACCTCCCCACCTCACAGTACACACACCTCCCCACCTCACAGTACACACACCTCCCCACCTCACAGTACACACACCTCCCCACCTCACAGTATACACACCTCCCCACCTCACAGTACACACACCTCCCCACCTCACATTATACACACCTCCCCACCTCACAGTACACCCATCTCCCCACCTCACAGTACACCCACCTCCCCACCTCCCACCTCACAGTACACACACCTCCCCACCTCACAGTACACCCACCTCCCCACCTCCCCACCTCACAGTACACACACCTCCCCACCTCACAGTACACCCACCTCCCCACCTCCCCACCTCACAGTACACACACCTCCCCACCTCACAGTACACACACCTCCCCACCTCACACAGACCTCCCCACCTCACAGTACACACACCTCCCCACCTCACACACACCTCCCCACCTCACAGTACACACACCTCCCCACCTCACAGTACACACACGTCCCCACCTCACACACACCTCCCCACCTCACAGTACACACACCTCCCCACCTCACAGTACACACACCTACCCACCTCATAGTACACACACCATATTATCACACAACATACACACCTCTACACCTCAGAGCACACACACCTCCCCATCACATAACACACACATCTCCCCACCTCACAGTATACACACCTCCCCACCTCACAGTACACTCACCTCCCCACCTCACAGTACACCCACCTCCCCACCTCCCCACCTCACAGTACACACACCTCCCCACCTCACACAGACCTCCCCACCTCACAGTACACACACCTCCCCACCTCACACACACCTCCCCACCTCACAGTACACACCTCCCCACCTCACAGTACACACACCTCCCCACCTCACAGTACACACACGTCCCCACCTCACACACACCTCCCCACCTCACAGTACACACACCTCCCCACCTCACAGTACACATACCTCCCCACCTCACAGTACACACACCTCCCCACCTCACAGTACACACACCTCCCCACCTCACAGTACACACACCTCCCCACCTCACAGTAAACACACCTCCCCACCTCACAGAACACACACCTCCCCACCTCACAGTACACACACCTCCCCACCTCACAGTACACACACCTCCCCACCTCACAGTACACACACCTCCCCACCTCACAGTACACACACCTCCCCACCTCACAGTACACACACCTCCCCACCTCACACACACCTCCACACCTCACAGTGCACACACATCCCCACCTCACAGTACACACACCTCCCCACCTCACACACACCTTCCCACCTCACACACACCTCCCCACCTCACAGTGCACACACATCCCCACCTCACAGTACACACACCTCCTCACCTCACAGTACACACACCTCCACACCTCCCCACCTCACAGTACACACATCCCCACCTCACAGTACACACACCTCCCCACCTCACAGTACACACACCTCCCCACCTCACAGTACACACACGTCTCACATCACACACACCTCCCCACCTCACAGTACACATACCTCCCCACCTCACACACACCTCCCCACCTCACACACACCTCCCCACCTCACAGTACACAAACCTCCCCACCTCACAGTACACAAACCTCCCCACCTCACAGTACACAAACCTCCCCACCTCACACACACCTCCGCACCTCACAGTACACACACCTCCCCACCTCACAGTACACAAACCTCCCCACCTCACAGTACAAACACACCTCCCCTCCTCACAGTACACAAACCTCCCCACCTCACAGTACACAAACCTCCCCACCTCACAGTACACACACGTCTCACATCACACCCCCCACATCGACACATCTACACACACCTCATCACCTCACAACACACACACACACACCTCCTTACCTCACCGCACACAATCATCCACCTTTCAGAGTAAACACCCTCACCTCACAGCACACACACTTCCCCACCTCGCTACCGTGGTCTAGCGGTAGAGCGCTAGACTTCCTACCAGAAAGTCTGTATTATGCTGGACTTCCTAGAGTCCACACATCTCTTTTGGGTACCTGACTCACGTTATATAAACAAATGCAACTGGGCATAGTGCTGACCACACTATGCCGATGTTCAGATGAGCTCTACTTCATCTGAACCATGTGTCTTGGGCAGTGGCGTAGCGAGGTCGGGTGTCACCCGGTGCGGCACTTAATAGTGTCATTTCCCCCCCCCCCCCAAAGGCGTAGCGACCCTTCCCGGGGACAAACTTTTAAATTTTCGATTTGCACCCCCCTCAAACTTTCGATTTGCACCCCCCCCCCCTCAAACTTTCGATTTGCACCACCCCCTTCAAGTTTTTCTCTATATATTTTGCTATTTTTTTCCTTGGTGTCACCCCCCCCCCTAAATGGTGTCACCCGCTGCGGTCCGCACCCCCCCCCCTTGCTACGCCTCTGTTCTTGGGCACGAACTGGAAAAGGTGATAAAAATGCAAGTAAATTGTATAAAAACCCTCCTGCATTGTGACGCCACATACATCATACCCCATACTTATGTCTTTTTAAACCAAGAAGTCAAGTGACTTTATTTAACTCATTGTTAAACACGAAATATGGGACGGCGTGGTGGGACAGTAGAGCTTACAACTACTAACCCGAGCGTCTCGAGTTCGGATATTGGAACTAAGGCCCTATGACATCTCTGAGTCGACCCAGTTCTGATGGGTACCTGATTTAGGACATGGAATGTACAGGCAGCTGGGCATAGGGCTGACCACACTATCCTTTAATAAACCGAGGTCACAGAAACAAGTGAGCTCTATCTGCCTCATGCTCCGCTATTTTCAAAAGACTAACTTTTTAAACATGAACTCCTTGAATGTGAGTGTTGATAAGAACATTATCTTGCCTTTACAGTCGCATTGATAATGACTTCAGTCATAAGTCACCCACTAGGATACATCCTGGGAGGAGTATTCAGCCAAATATACGTCACACTTCAAGGTAGGGTTTTATCCGGGTATAAACGTTTAGCAATACCCTCTCATTTTTAACACGCTTACTCTTTAGTGTGTGTATAATACAAATGTGTGCATATGTTATCAAAGTTATCAACGTTATTATGGTTCAAGAGCAGATTTAGAAGGTGGAGCTCGTGTATGAGCCATCTTCAAAAATGTCTTAAGCACTATTTAAAAAAAAAAAAAACCCTCGATACAAGAGAACAAAGAAACAAAACAAAACCACACAACGATGTATTAAGGCCGAGATAAGTGAACAGGGAATTAGCGAGGGATTACTGTAGTTTGTTCTTGAATGGACAAAAGCTTTGGAAGCAAATACAGAAAGAAAAGTATGCTGAAATTCGAGTTCACAGGCCATACGGCTCATAATAAGTTGATACTCTACAGTGCTCAGGTTATCCCCTTCAATCTTATAATTAAATAATATGTCTCCATAGTCTAACTGTTATACTATGTTAGACCCCAAAACACCAATGGGTGATTGCGCAATTGGAAATGCATGCCCAAAGCCTTGGCCCTGATGACTATGTATCAACCCCCCCCCCCCTCTCCACACGGCTGATTAACCCAAGGATAGGACGTTACCTGTACAGCATGGAACCCATGTGGAACTGCCGAAAGGAAACTAGAGTTCCTAATTTTATCGCATAAGGGGCTTCACTCCTGTTTGATTTCGAAGTTTTCCCTCCTAGATGGGTTGCTGTCCCCAGCTTACGAGCCTTACTTGCCCGAGGGTTTCGAATTAGGGACTTTATAATTATATTAAGCCAATATCATGCAGTTTGAAGGCGTTCACTCGAAGTTTAAAGCACCTCCCTCCCCTCTCCCACAGACACGCCCTGGACCGTGACACACCCACAATGGATCGGAGCCTGGTGGTTGGGTCTGGTCATGTTTGGAGTTGTCACTCTCTTGCTGGCCACGCCCATGTTCTGCTACCCCAGAGACTTGACAACAAGGGAAGTCGGAGAGCAGCACGCACGTGATGGGTGAGCAGAGACTTGTTGTTATAGGTACAACTTTACACCTCAGGTGCTCCATCGACGCACGTGATGGGTGAGCAAAGACTTGTTGTTATAGGTACAACTTTACACCTCAGGTGCTCCATCGACGCACGTGATGGGTGAGCAGAGACTTGTTGTTATAAGTACAACTTTACACCTCAGGTGCTCCATCGACGCACGTCATGTGTGAGCAGAGACTTGTTGTTGTAGGTACAACTTTACACCTCAGGTACTCCATCGAGTCAACGATGCAAAGACAAACAGGACAGAAAGATGTTCCTGATCAACACGGGTTATCTATGAGACAATTGTTATAACCCATGTCCGACCATAGACTCTTCCAGAAATAGGTGTGTTAGCAGTGGCGTAGCTACCGTAAAGCTAGCGTAAGCAAGGCATAGGGGCCCAAGGCAAATAGGGGCCCTTTTTCGAAAGTTTGAGGGGGTGGGGGTGCAACTCGAAAGTGGGGGGGGGGTGCAAATCGAAAGTTTGAGGGGGGGTGCAAGTCGCTACGCCTCTGAGGAGCCCACTAACACTTTTTGCATAGGGGCTCAAAATTCCTAGCTACGCCACTGTGTGTTAGGTTGTTAGTAGCATTGCAATCTCTGTTTTAGCGTCATGGTCAGAAACTATGGTTAAGGGTACGGTAGGAATTGGTTAGGATTCGGTTTAGGGATAGGATTAGAGTTAATACCACCAATGGATTAATTTAACTACAAGTAACTACAGCTTTATACCTTACATCAGTATACCAAGAAGCGGCGTGGCCAGGTGGAAGACCATTAGGCCTCCAGCCAGAAAGTCTTGAGTTCGGATCTAGGCTCGAAGTTGTGACTGTAGGACGTCTATGAGTCACCCAGCTCTGATGGGTACCTGACTTACGTTGGGGAAAGTAAATGTGCATAGTGCAGACCACACAATCTCTTCATATGCAGAGATCACGAAACTTATGAACTACTTTATCTGCTCTACGGATCGCTATATCTAAGGAGCAACCTTTACTTTTAAAATCCTTATACCAAGCATATTTTTGCTACTAAAAAAAAAACATTCCGAATATCTAAAAATAAAAACGAGTTACACAAATGCGGTCAGATGTTGATACATAATTTAGGTGTAGTTGCAGATAATTGATACACAATTAATTAGGTTTAGGGTTAGGACGATTCCTACAAATATCATATAACTCAATAAAATGATAATAAGAGTAATGTAAAGTTACCCTTTCGGACCAAATTTCAAATAGCGTTTTCCAATTGATTTTCCGATGCTATATACAGTGGTCAAATTAGACTACAGAGCCATATTATATTATAATTATAGTTCATATGTTAGGTTAGTCCTATTTGCTCCGTATAGAACATAGGGCCTCCACCACTTCCTTCCATTTCTTCCGATCCCCGGCTATTAATTTTGTCATCTCCCAAGACATCCCTGTTGGCTTCAGTTCTTCAAGAAGACTCCGCCTCCAGGTCTGTCTTGGGCGCCCTCTCTTCCGCTTTCCCTTGGGGTTCCACTCAAGCGCTTGGCGTGTAACGTTTGGGTGAGCCTTTTGTAGAGTGTGTCCCAATTATAATTCATGCACGGCAGTTAATGATACTCACTCTAAAGACAGGGGTCACTCGACAAGAACTCAGGTCTCGCCAGCACCAACTCTGGGGGCAAGAAGTGCTCCATCGAGTCAAAGACGCCAAGACCAACAGGCAAGAGTGGTGTTAAACAAGGTAGATCAGGACAGTTACGTCATATCATATATACGATCAACCATCAACCATATAACACCCGAAACCCCATAGAACAAATACCATCAACCATCTAACACCATCATCTCCAAATAACTTATACCACCAAGCATCAAACGTCTAACACCCAAAACTGCATACAACATATACCATCAACCATCAATCATCAACAATGAACCATAATCCACTACCAACCATCAACCATCAACAATCAACCATCAATTATCAACAATCAACCATCATCCGTCAACCATTATCCATCAACCATCAACCATCTACCATCTACCATCAACCATCAACCATCAATCATCAACCATCAATCATCAACAATTAACCATAATCCACTACCAACCATCAACCATCATCCATCAACCATCAACCATCAACCATTAACCATCTACCATCAACTATCAACCATCAACCATCAACCATCAAACATAAACTATCAATCATCAACCATCAACCATCATCTATCATCCATCAACCATCAACCATCTACCATCAATCATCAACCATCAATCATTAACCATCAACCATCAACTATCCACCATCAACCACTAACCATCAACCATCAACCATCTGACTTCCACCTCCCCAGGTTTCCTCAACTCCTTATGTCGTCTGCTGACCACACCTGTCTACCTCCCCAGGTTTCCTCTACTCCTTATGTCGTCTGCTGACCCCACCTGTCTACCTCCCCAGGTTTCCTCTACTCCTTATGTCGTCTGCTGACCACACCTGTCTACCTCCCCAGGTTTCCTCAAGTCCTTATGTCGTCTGCTGACCACACATGTCTACCTCCCCAGGTTTCCTCTACTCCTTATGTCGTCTGCTGATCATACCTGTCTACCTCCCCAGGTTTCCTCTACTCCTTATGTCGTCTGCTGACCACACCTGTCTACCTCCCCAGGTTTCCTCTACTCCTTATGTCGTCTGCTGACCACACCTGTCTACCTCCCCAGGTTTCCTCTACTCCTTATGTCGTCTGCTGACCACACCTGTCTACCTCCCCAGGTTTCCTCTACTCCTTATGTCGTCTGCTGATCATACCTGTCTACCTCCCCAGGTTTCCTCTACTCCTTATGTCGTCTGCTGACCACACATGTCTACCTCCCCAGGTTTCCTCAAGTCCTTATGTCGTCTGCTGACCACACCTGTCTACCTCCCCAGGTTTCCTCTACTCCTTATGTCGTCTGCTGACCACACCTGTCTACCTCCCCAGGTTTCCTCTACTCCTTATGTCGTCTGCTGACCACACCTGTCTACCTCCCCAGGTTTCTTCCACTCCTTATGTCGTCTGCTGACCACACCTGTCTACCTCCCCAGGTTTCTTCCACTCCTTATGTCGTCTGCTGACGACACCTGTCTACCTCCCCAGGTTTCCTCCACTCCTTATGTCGTCTGCTGACGACACCTGTCTACCTCCCCAGGTTTCCTCTACTCCTTATGTCGTCTGCTGACCACACCTGCCTACCTCCCCAGATTTCCTCTACTCCTTATGTCGTCTGCTGACCACACCTGTCTACCTCCCCAGGTTTCCTCTACTCCTTATGTCGTCTGCTGACCACACCTGTCTACCTCCCCAGGTTTCCTCTACTCCTTATGTCGTCTGCTGACCACACCTGTCTACCTCCCCAGGTTTTCTCTACTCCTTATGTCGTCTGCTGACCCCACCTGTCTACCTCCCCAGGTTTCCTCTACTCCTTATGTCGTCTGCTGACCACACCTGTCTACCTCCCCAGGTTTCCTCTACTCCTTATGTCGTCTGCTGACCACACCTGTCTACCTCCCCAGGTTTTCTCTACTCCTTATGTCGTCTGCTGACCCCACCTGTCTACCTCCCCAGGTTTCCTCTACTCCTTATGTCGTCTGCTGACCACACCTGTCTACCTCCCCAGGTTTCCTCAAGTCCTTATGTCGTCTGCTGACCACACCTGTCTACCTCCCCAGGTTTCCTCTACTCCTTATGTCGTCTGCTGACCACACCTGTCTACCTCCCCAGGTTTTCTCTACTCCTTATGTCGTCTGCTGACCACACCTGTCTACCTCCCCAGGTTTTCTCTACTCCTTATGTCGTCTGCTGACCACACCTGTCTACCTCCCCAGGTTTTCTCTACTCCTTATGTCGTCTGCTGACCACACCTGTCTACCTCCCCAGGTTTTCTCTACTCCTTATGTCGTCTGCTGACCACACCTGTCTACCTCCCCAGGTTTTCTCTACTCCTTATGTCGTCTGCTGACCACACCTGTCTACCTCCCCAGGTTTTCTCTACTCCTTATGTCGTCTGCTGACCACACCTGTCTACCTGTGCATGACCCTCTCCGCCTGCTGTATGGCCTTCAGCACCAGCGGGTCATCGACCTTCACCCCCAAATACGTGGAGACGATGTTCAACTACCCAACATTCAAGACTAATAACGCGCTAGGTGACTTCTGGTTATGGGCTGAACTTACATTGTGTTTTTAGAAATCGTGCTGGCGTTATATAACAATAAATTTTAATTATTTGTGTACTTCGATAAAGTGAAGTAACATTTACATAAACCACTACAATTAGTTTATTTCAAGGGAAACCCCGCCCCAACATATATAGACACAATAACATTATTGTGAATTTTCACCCATAACATTAACATTCTTGTATAGAGTCGTGAACTTCCACCCATCAAACGATAACATTCTTGTATAGACTCGTTAATTTCCAACCATCAAACCATAACATTCTCGAATAAGTCTTGAATTTCCACCTATCAAACCATAACATTCTTGTATAGAGTCGTGAATTTCCACCCATCAAACCATAACATTAACATTCTTGTATAGAGTCGTGAACTTCCACCCATCAAACCATAACATTAACATTCTTGTATAGAGTCGTGAACTTCCACCAATCAAACAATAACATTCTTGGATACAGAGTTTCTTCCAAGCTTCCCCCCCCCCCTCCCGAAATATTTCTACCGCCCCCCCCCCCCCTCCCCGAACGAAATGACATTTATATAATTTATATAGAAAATATATACTTTTAACAGTGTCCGCCCCCCCCCCCCCCCCCGAAGAAAGTTTACCGACCCCCACCCCCCACCCCGAAAATAAGTGCCCCCCCCGGAGAAAAAAGTCTGGAAGAAACACTGCTTGTATATAGTCGTGAACTTCCAACCGTCAAACGATAACAAGCTGCTCACCATCTTGCAGGCTGCATGTTCTTTCTGGGGCCGTTTCTTGGAGTCATCGTGACCTCCTACACGTCTAGAGATGTCAAGGTCACCGTACTGAGAGAACTGAAGCTATGTCTGGTCGTCACGTTGTTCGCTTTTGGCGCGGTCTGTACCGGATTTTTTTTGCAGTGCAAGCAGCCGACGATTCACAACTGGCCTTTGTAAGTATATAAAGCTGGCCAAGGCTTATACACATAGATGGCCAATGTAAGTACACAAAGTTGGCCAAGATTTGTACACATAGCTGACCAATGTAAGTACACCAAGTTGGCCATGGTTCGTACACATAGCTGGCCAAGCTTCGTACACATAGCTAGCCAAAGTTCGTAAACATAAATGGCCAAGGTTCTTATACATAGCTGGCCAAGGCTCGTATTTATAGTTGGCCAAGGTTCGTACATATAGGTGGCCAAGGTTCGTACACATAACTGGCCAAGGTTCGTACACAAAGCTGGCCAAGATTAGTACACTTAGCTGGCCAAAATTTAAACACTTATATAATTGGCCAGGATTCGAAAACTCACAAAGCTTGACCATTACCATAATTGTCAAATCTGAATTGACCAACGCCGTTTGGCCATCTCTGAATTGGTTGGCCATGCTATGGCAAGACATTGCAACATAAGTTGGCCATCTCCGGGTTGACCTCCACGGGTTGGTCGCGTTACTCTATTGCCAACCCACAACAACCAGTGTCCACATCTTCTCTGGGCAGAGAGAGCCGGTCGTGTTATGAAGATTGCCACTGTCAGAACGACAACTACTTGGCCGTGTGCGGGGATAACGACTTGACTTACTACTCACCGTGCACGGCAGGGTGCACGAGCCAAAGGGAAGGGGTGAGTTCAGATATGACGTTTTGATCGTATATAACAATTAATTAATCAATTAGAATAATTAATTAGTTAATTTTAAAAAATAAACCGGGAGTGATCTCCCCTAAACTTTCTCGAATATTCTAATATAACACTACGGGGGATGGCAACTCGGGATATAGACTTCTAGACATGATTTTTAATCCATTTTAATTTCTCAAATTTTTTAAAACAGAATATAATCTCGTAGAAAAATGAAATGCACACCAAGTGAACGCTAAATAAAGATGTGCATAATAGTGCGCAATATTATTAGTACTTTATAAATTTACATGCGTTTTCTGAGAAATCGGAAATAGCGTAAATAAGTACTTCCGGTCAACGGAAATTACTCAAAATTTGACAGAAGGTAGAGAATTAGATCTTTTACTTACATATCAAATTTCATTTATCTAACTGAAATAGTACTCAAGTTATAGGCTTTTGAAAAATTCAAAGCAGAAAAAGTACCACTTCCGGTTATCGGAAATCGCTCAAAAGTTGATACGGATCTATGATTTTGATAAAATACTTATACATGAAATTTCAGCAACCTAGCTGTAACGGTACTCAAGTAATCGTGTTTACACACACACACACTCAGACACACACACACAGAGACACACAGACATACGGACAAGATTGCAAAATTATGTTTTTCCGTATCAGTGAGATGTAAAACGTCGAGATTTGTAAAAATCTCGATTTTTTTTTTTGCACGATTACAAGACTTTCTCTATACTTCGTATATACGAGAAAGTAAAAATGTTGAACTGGAATTTTAGAAGTTGTCCTCAGGTGAATTAAATTAAACGAGCCGACCCGCGGCGTATCATACGCCGCTATTTAGTTGATTTATTTTCTACTTTTCAGTAATTCATAATTTGTGAATTCGACAGTACCAATGCTGCCACTGAAAATATTTGCTTTAAAACACTAACCCCCCTCCTTTCCCCTAACCCCGACCCTACACCCCCCCCCCCCCCCGTGAAAGCAGCCTCCTCTTAGTTACCTCCTGTAAGTTTAAAGTCGGTTCAAACTAAATTATCTGCCCCTAATAGCCGTCACTAAACCTGGCTGTACGGTTTGTAAACATTAACGTGACCACAGCTCAGCAGACCATGTGGGGGTGGGGTAGGGTGGTAGTGATAGCGATAGAGAGAAAGAGAGGGGACTGTAAGGAGGCGCTTGCAGCTTGTTTTCTAATGGCTCGCATAGGAGAATTATATATATACGAGCCGGCCCGCGGCATAACATACGCCGCTATTTAGTTGTTTTTTCTACTTTTCAGTAATTCATAATTTGTGAATTCGACAGTACCAATGCTGCCACTGAAAATATTTCTTTAAAACATTATAAGTAGCTCGTTAAGGACCATAACCCCCCCCCCCCCCTTCCTCCCCCCCCCCTCCCCCCACGTTTAAAATCGTTGGCTCTGCTTGTAAACATTTAGAGTGAACACAGCTCACTAAAACCATGTAGGGGTGGGGAGGTAGGGAGCGCGTTTACAGCTTGTTTTCTAGGCGCGTTTGCAGCTTGTTTTCTAGCGGCTCCCAGAAGATAATTATATATATAGATAGATTTTCCTTTGTATCAGTGATTCTCATCCTGAGTTCGATTGAACCCCTGGGTTGTTTGGTGAGTTGGTCTCATGGGTTTGGCGGTAGGCATGAGCGATTATTCGCGATATAATTTTGTAAGTGTAGACATAACTATTTAAAAGGTTTCGGCAAATGCAAAAATTCAACTGGGGGTTAGGTACTTTTAAAAATGGTTAAGAACCACTGATTATATATATATATATATATATATATATATATATATATATATATATATATATATATATATATATATATATATATATATATATATATATACAGAGAGAGAGATTTAGCCGTATATATTGAATTTATATAGATGGCTATGTATTTCAGACATTCAGGAACTGCTCCTG